CGTGCCAGGCGCCCGCGGACTCGCGTGGCCCCGCGCTCTCGGCCGGGCTGCGCACCCCGCTGCTCTGCCTCTTGCTCCTGGCGCCCCATCACCTCTGACTGCGGTGCTCAGACGGCAGAGGCCGCGGCCTTCGCCCCGCACCCCTTCTCTGCCCCACCGAGCTGCGGCTCCATCCTCTTCGCCCCTTGTTTGCGGCCGGCCTTTGCGGCGCCTTCCCCAGGCCCCCTCGCTCCTTTTCTTCCCGGGGACCACGCTGTCTCATTTGCCTTCTGGGCTGTTCAATGGCAGCCCCTAAGACGGTGTTTAAGGTGGCTCGGCCCCTTTCGTCCTGATTCTAGCCATTAACTCTTTTTCCCCCCAAATCCCAAGACTGGGGCGGGGCACCCCAGGCAGCCATTGCTCCTCTCTCCAGGGCCCCACAGTGGACTGGAGGGGCTTTTGTCTACAGAGCACCTTCCACCAGCAGAGCCTTTGAAAGCTCCCCAGGGAGCCTCCCTTCCTCCCCCGGACCTTGGGAGGGTTGCCTCAGCAAGGCCCAGGCTGCTCCTGGACCATGCTTGTCCTTCAGCCTCCTGACACCTGGAGGAATAACTTTTCTCCTAAGTCTACCCAGAACACTTTTTAGGGTGCCCGGAGAGTTTCCTCTCCACCATGGCCCCTGTGTGGTGAAGATCAAAAGAAGTTGTTTGGGGGAAAATTTATTAAAAAGTTCTATTATTTTATCTCCTGTAAGTTTTTTCCCCCTCCTCAAGACCCCAAAAACAGAGGTAGGACTTGGAATTGTGAGTGTTTAAGGGCTGGAGGGCTAGACCAGGAAGAACTATCTCAGGCCACCAGGATCAGGATCAGACCATCAGTCCTTCTGCGGCAAGGACTTGGTGGGTGACTTATGCCTCAAGGTCATTCTGCTCCTCCCCAGGCTTCCGTTTCTTGAGTTACCCTGTCTGTTAAGGGTGTGTGCTAATGGCACCAGTTTGCCCAAGAGAAGCAGCTACCACCAGCCCTGAAGGGTTTGGCTGCTGAACGGTCTAAGTCTGGAGGTGGCCACCAGCTTGGCTAAGTGGCCTTCATGAAAGAAAGCTTCCACGTTTCCCAGAAAGGAGGCATAACTTAGACATCCCCGGGCCCCACTAGCTAACCACGGCTTTGGGCCTATCTTGAAAAGGCACAGCTTCCTGGGCAAACACAATCGCACCACAAAAGCTTTAAGAGCAGAACCCAGGACTAGATCCCAGCTTGTGTTTGCCCTCTTTGTTGACCACCCCTGTGAAGTAGTCAGCAGATCTAGCTGTTCTCAAAGCCCCCACAGACCATCAGGGCCACCAGGTCTTTAACCCTTTGTGCCTGTGAGGAAAAAGCATTCATGGGTGGATCAAGTCAAGCCTTCTCTGAGCAGATTAGGGAGAGACTAAGAGGGTTAAGGTGATCAAGGGACAAAAGTTTCAAGTTGGGGTGTCTTACATTGGATCATTGCTAGAAACTCCCTCTCTAGAGTAGGTAAGGGGGGGGGAGGAGGAGGGAGTCGAGCTATCTATGAACCTTAGCCTGAGTCTCATCAGATGGAATTGATTAAGGATCCAGAGTTGAGTTTGTAGCCTGGGAGGTGGGAATGGCAGGATAGGAGGGACCTGGGAGCTGCCACTGGAATCCTATAACTGACCAGTGATGTCCCAGGATGCTGAGAAGAGGGAGTAGAGCAGGCAGGAATCCGTATCCTCGGCCTGTAGCAGATGGACTTTGGATAGGAATGTGAAATGGTTGAGGGGCTTGTGGGAGCAGAGGTCAGTCAGACAGAACTGGAGAGCTCTGAGCTGGGGTCTTACAAGGTCCGGCTTTGAGGAAGTTCATGAGTGGGGTTGGAACTGGGCCTGGAGGTAAGGTGGAGGGGGAAGGGGAGATATGAGCTGGGGAAGTTGGAGGAGGGGCTTCTGGGCCAGGGCGGGGGAGGGGAGTGTGCTGGTAAATCAGAGGCAGGCTGTCCAGGTCACAGAATTATCGTTGTGAAATATTCATGGACCTTCGGTCCAGATGCTATTTCAGAACAGCGAGAGAGAGCCTCAGGAAGGAGCCTAGAGCAATGCTGCTCCCCACTGGCCCCCACCGCAGCCACTGGCAGCCCAGACAGAACAAGGGACGCCCATCACGTGCACACTCACACCCTTCAGCTCACGCGCACACACACACACACACACACGCACACATGCATACGTGCACACACAAAATGGAGCTTTGTGGCACGTGCAAGCACACCAGCCACCCATGGGTCCCACAAACAGGCAGATGCACCCCATACATGGACGTGTACCCACACCCTCTCACCCAGGACCCCACTCCCAGCAATCTCACAAGCTCTGGTCCCCAGTCTCCCCAAACAACGCAGATTGACAGCTCTGAGTACCACACTCCAGAATAGACAAGACGGGCAAAGGCATGTTTTCCAGCCCCCTCCAATGTCCGGATGAGGAAACTGAGTCCAGAGTGTTCGGGAATGGACCTGTCCGTGACTCTCCTAACTCCCGAAAGAAACAAAAGGCCATTCACCTCCCACATCCCGTGAGTGTGTCCCCATTCTGCATGCTTCATTTTTCAGACACCCAATGTCGTTAGCTCCTCCTTTCTCTAATCTCCTATATCTATTCAGTTCCCAAGTCCCCCTCCTGGCCCCTGGCCACGCTCTTCTTCCGTGCCACCTCCTGCTGACGGCGGCTCCTCGTTACCTCGTGCCTGGAATGTAGAAGAAAATGGCGGCCATCTCTACTCTGCTTTCTCTGCTCTCGGTCTCCCTGACTCCCACCCAGCCTACCCACGGCGACCAGACTCATCTGGCCACACTGCGGATCTCCTTACTGGGTCACTCGGCAACCTATGGTGGCTCCCCACTGCCTTCAGATTCAAAGTAAAACACTTTACCCAGGCACCCGAGGGGTTTCACTGTCAAGAAACATCTGCTATTCAAGCCTCCGCCCTCAATGGCCACCAGCCAGCCTTCACTCTAACGCTTGAATGTTTCTGGCCACCTGGCCACCTGGTTTGGTACGCTAGAAACCCAGAAATTGGTACGCTAGAAACCCAGAAATCTATTTTGAATGCTGCCTAAAGTCCCTTCAACGCCTCCAAACTAGGAAACTCCTCCCTGCTGTTCTCAGATCCCAGACTTTAGAGCCCTTCTTCAAGGCCAAGCCTGCCTCCCTACGGGTAGCCAGAGCTCTTTCCTGTCCTTCAAAGTACAGAGATGATGAAATAGTTCAGAGGACGGCTGCCCCCTACTGGCCATCGTGGGAAGCACAGGCAGGTTTTGTCATCGCAAACTGCAGACTGAGCAAGCAGTCTCCTGGGGAGAGAAATAGCAGGACGCCAGATGACAAGCTTTGTAAGCCCTTAAGCCTCTCAGGTTCTACACCCAGAGTGGGGGGTGAGGGTGTTTTCAGCCCAGTTTTCCGAGCAGCTGGCTCCCCGCTTTAGATTTCTAATCTGTGAGAAAGCTCCTCTATAAAAACATGAAGACGGGGTTTCCAGGACTCTTCAGAAGGGAAAGTTGGTCAACAAACTCTGAGAGGCCACTAAAGCAGGGACAGTCCAGGTGGCAGGCCCAAGGTCCTGCTGGGGTCAGGTTTCTCTATGAATTATTAATGCTTCCAGCCAAACCTGTCAGATGTCCTGAAACCTGAGAGTCCATCTCCTTTTGTTTGTCCAAGATGCCCTTCTCCATCCCTCTGCTCTGGGGCATGGACGACGGAGGGGGTTCTGGGGCAACTATGCTCAGGGAAGAGGTTTGGAGAAGGTTGGGAGATCCGCTTGTTCTCCCATTTCCAAGCTATGTGATCTTGGCAAATTCTCCTGATATCTTTTTTTATTGTTCTTATTGTTGGTACTGTTGGTTTGGACATCCGGGGGGAAGGGAAGGAGGACACAAAGAGTCCCTGACTTAACTGAGTTGTAGTGGAGAACAAGTTCCTAACATGGCCACACTAGTCCTGTCTCCTCTCCTCTGACAAAAGAATCTCTCTCTCTCTCTCTCTCTCTCTCTCTCTCTCTCTCTCTTCTCTTCTCTTCTCTTCTCTTCTCTTCTCTTCTTCTCTCTCTCTCTCTCTGTCTCTCTCTCTCTCTCTCTCTGGACTCTAATTGTTTCTGGTGTCCCCAGTCAACTCCAAATAGCCCGAACCTCGAAATTCTCTCAAGGACTACAGATGAGAAGAGAGAAGGAGATTGGAAGTGGGCAAGGCTGGCTGAGCAAAAAGTAAACAGCAGAGAAGCTACAGAGAGGGTGGGAAGTGGGGCAGGGGGAGAGAACCCCTGAGGGTGGGCACAGGAAAGGGGACCCCCTTCCCATTGCCTCCACCCTTTCTTTTTCCTTCCATGCACCCACCACACCAGAAAGAGACCACCACAGTGGGGGAGGGGAGGGCAACACAGGACGCAGTAAGAGGAAATGGGCCCCCATTTTCCCAGCCCATTCAGCGCTTGCACGGTGATTCTAAAAATAAGGGCCTCTCTATCTGATAGTGAGAAGACAGTTTCTGGGCCCCTCAACCGCTGCTGAATCGGATAGCTGGTGGTCCAGGAATTTGCATTTTTATCAAGTGGAGAAAGTCTGTAAGTGCTCTCAAGTCTGAGAGTCATCTTCCTGAGGGTGGGAGGAAGGAGGGGAACAGACAGGGCCATGCAAAGGAAGGCTGGCACTCCTCCCCAAACACACACCCTTGGTGGGAGCTGTGGATGGGAATTACGTGTGGAGGACAGTGGGGACGAATAAAAGGTGGAGAATGTCAGCCTGAGCGACGGTTATTTCCTGTAATCCCAGCACTGGGGTGGCTGGGCAAGAGGATAGCCGTGAGTTCAAGGCCAGTTCCGCCTATATAGGGAGTTCCAGGCTAACCTGAGCTACAAAGTGAGGTAGGTCCTGTAGAAAGGAAGGAAGGGAGGGAGGGAGGGAGGAAGGCAAAGAAAAGGAAAAAAAAAACCCAAAATTGATAGTATGACGAATGGAGAAAGAGGGACCCATATTGGATGGGGGTGGGACATGGTCAAGATGAGACTGGGAAAAGCCATGCAAGGTGTGCCCACCCACTCTTCTTCACGGCCTCCTGAAACTCTGCTGGACCCACTGGCCTCTGTGAGATAAACACAGAGACCTCTCACTAGCTTTCTGGAGAGAAAGGCCTGAGAGCAAGCGTGTCACACCCCAAGACCTGTGAGCCTCTATAGGGTGCGTCTCAGGAAGATGCGGGTCCGCATGTGCCACCTCCCTAACCTCTGCACCCGCAGGAACTCGGCTGTGTCCAGCATCCTTCTGACCTGTTCTCTCCGGCCTTCCCCAGCCCCCAGTTCCAACTCATCTGCATAAAGTTCCAATTAACACGTTTTCCTGGAGTTGTTTGCGATCCCTGAACTCGCTCCCAACCCGGAGCCCGCTTCCTGCCGCCCCCTAGTCCCTCGGATCGCAGCTCCATTAACCCTTGAGACCCGGGCGGCTCTCGTTGGCCTCTGGCCTGTCCCTTCGTACGAGACAGCGAGCCCGGGACGCGCCCCTAGGCGGCTGACTGTGCAAAGGGCGGGCCAGAGGCCGGTGTTCCTCGGGAAAACGACAGGAGTTCGCCCGCCCCTCTTTCTGGGAAGGCATGAGGAGGGGGACTTCTCCCGGGAGACTCGGGGCGTCGAAATTCCTCGTTCCTCATCCTGCGGCCCCCGCACCCCTCCTCCCGGCAAGGCACCCTCTCCCCTCCCCAGCCATCTGTTCCTGTAGGCAGCGCAGCGGCAAACACAGCTCTAGCTTGCTTCCGCCCTTACCCAGCCCCCTCCTCAAACTCCCCCATCCCCGAGGGTGGGAGAATGGTGATAGCCCTCTCCTAGAAGGTTCACATGTCAGCCTCCATGTCTCATTCAACCCCTAGCTCAACTGGGCAGGGTAACTGTGGGGGTCCCCCTTCTTCTACCGAGAGGGTCCGTAGAACTAAAGGGAGAATGCTTAAAGCTGAGGATCTGGGGAAGGCGTGGAGGAGACCTCGGGGAAAAAGCAGAACAGACAGAGGTAGGAAAACCGAGTCCCGGGTGCCAGAGCGTGGATTTGAGCTCAGTGGTCTGGGGTTCCCCTCCTGGGATTTGCCACCCCGCAATTTGCCCACCCGCAAACACGCAGCGCCGCCTGCTGGGCACACTGAGGACCGCGCGCGCGCCCACACACTAGGCTTCCTGTGCTCGCCTTCATTAGCGACTGATTGATGGGATGCCAGCCAGGTCCCTTGATGGCTTGTGGTTGGCAAAATTAGAGCTCAGGGAGACCCTGGCAGGGCCTCTGGGAGTTAGCCAGCCTCACTGACAGGATCTCTCCCATTCTGAGATCTTTCTTGTGCACAAAAGGCCACATAGAGAGTCAGGAGTCTGCTTAGAGCAACCATCTGCTGCATTGACTTCTCTCCAGACCTCCCAGCAGTCTTGTCGTTTGAAGATGGGTGGGTCATTCTTCTTTATTCCTCAAGAGAAGTCAGAACAAACAGAGGAAGCTTATCTGGAATGCTGTCTCCCAGCCCTCGCATTTGGAGATCCTCCACGGGATAAGGGCCAAGAGGATGGATCAGGATTGTACCGGGGGTCACTCCAGAGTCAGAGGGAGTGGTGGTCATCTCAGCCCAGCACTCGGGAAGCTGAGGGAAGACTGCAAGTTGGAGGCCAGTCCCAGCTACACTGGGTGAATGATAGTCTAGCCTAGGCTAAAGTGTGAAACCCTCAAACACACTAGCAAGGCACCCCAGCCCTGAGAACTAGAGTGCTTGGTAATCCTTTCTGTCCCTGGCTGCCATTGGAGTAGGCTTCCAAAATCAGATTACTACCTGGCCTTGCCTAGTTATTCCCTGCCTCTCTGTACCACTTGGCTTTGGCCTTAATTTTTCTGGTGTTTCCTAAACTACATGGCCTCTCCAGCTATAGCTGAGCTCATATGGCTCACCTGTGTGGAAGACAGGTCGTCAGCAGGCGTTAGAGACTCTGCCAGTCTGTGCCTGACTGCTAAGGCTTTCTGTCCCAGGGCACAGGCTAGCGAAGGGCTGAGACAAACAGGGTCACCTCTTTCTGGAATGTCTCTCATCATTAAAGATGGTGTTTTCTTTATAACTTATTTATTTTACTACCTGTGCCTTGGTGTTTTGCCTGCATGTATGTATGTCTGGGTGAGGGCAACAGATCTTGGAATTACAGATGGTTGTGAGCTGCCACGTGGGTGCCAGGAATTGAACCCGAGTCCTCCAGAAGAGTGGTCGGTGCTCTTAACGTCTGAGCCCCAGTGTTTTCTTTAAATGTGAATTGTTTTAGAGCCTCACTTTAATATTTGAAATAAATATAAATATAGTGTAACCTCAGAATTTGCCTGGTGTTTCAGGATGAAATGGGAGGCAACCAATAGGTGTTGCTTTCAGCAAGTCCCAGACATGCCTTGGTGGTAGAAAAGTTTGTCATTCTTTAATCTGTGTGTGTGAGAGAGAGGTGGGGGGGAGAGGGGGGCTCTGAAGCTCAAGCTGGCCTGGTATTTGCTATGTAGTCCAGACTAGGTTCAAACTCATGGTGATCCTACCTCAGTCTTCTAAGTGCCGGTATTACAGGTGATCTACCATGTCTGGCTTACTATGTCTTTTTTTAAAAAAAATTATTTAATGTATAAGAGTGACCCATCTTCAAGCACACCAGAAGAGGGAATCAGTTCCCATTACAGATGGTTGTGAGCCACCATGTGGTTGCTGAGAACTGAACTCAGGACCTCTGGAAGGGCAGCCAGTGCTCTTAACTGCTGAACCACCTCTCCAGCTCCCCAATCATCCTTCTTAAAGTCCCAGCCATGTGTGGTGAGACAGGAGTGGAGATGTGGAAAGACAATAACCCCCTCCCTCCAGTCATAGACACACACCAGCCAGTCTTTCATTTCCCTTTTTATTTCCTCTAAGACCTGTAAGAAACAGCACCTGGGAGGGAACCCGCCCTCCAGCCTTCACACCCGATCGGGACACAGCCAGTGCTTCAGTCTCTCCTGCAGGAGAGGTTGCCTGTGCGTGTGCATAGGGGGGATGTGTGCACACTTGGCAGCTTGAATTTTAGGATAGTGTGTTCACCGATCCCGTGAGTCTTCAGGAGACAGCACCACGGAGGCTCCTGGGACAAACGTGGAGAAAGGACAGCCCCCGCCCCACTCTGGTTTCCTCCAGTCCAAAAAGATGGCCCAATAACACTGGAATAGATGCTGCCTTCCGTTCATAGACAGCTTGCTTTGGAGAATATTTTTAAGAGCTGTTTTTTGTTTTGTTTCCCTTTTTGCAAAGCCCTACAAAAATAGAACTCTCTTAGTATTTATAAATCCACGGCCCCTTGGCTCCACTCACACGATGCGGGCAGAAAGCCACTGGGGCATTCCCTTTGCTTTATCAAGCCTTGGTTGCCGGTCCTCCAAGTCCCTCAGCCTCAGGAGTCTATGTAGCCACCTTGGAATCATTGAGCACCTTCTGTGGGTCTGGTAAACTGGCGGTATACTGTCTCTGGAGACGGGACCGGTAGTAGAAGAGGTAGGAGGGCAGAAGGAATCCCAGGAACGAGAGGATCAGGAGGCCCAGATTCACCTTCGGAGCGTGAAAAGAACAAAACCAAATTAGGACTAGCAGGGTGCATCCTCTGCAGGGACCTGCCTGAGCTCCCAACATGGAGGACAAGGCAGCCATCTATACTCCAGGTCCAGGATCAGAAGAAACGTGGTGACTCCTTCACCAACATCTCTGATGGTCAACAACCCGGCAAAGGGGCTGAGGCGAGAACATTGACGTCTAGGGAGTGACAGTCACACCCCACGATGCCACGCTCTCTGGAATCTATGCACCAGAAGCCTGGCTCACACCAGCTAGTAGGATCCCACTAGAGTGTCTCTGGCATGGTCAAAGGAACTGGGGTGGATATCTAGGCAGCCTGGAGCACAGATGATCTGCCACACCCAGGACTGTGACCTTCACGAGCTCCCTCGAATCACATGCTACTCCCTAACTCGCGTGACTTTGGGCGAAGACTTTTATCTCATCTGAGTACCCCCTTCACAGGTCTACTGTGGCAAAGACTAAGTGAGAAGAAAAAGAAAAGGCCGGCATGCTTGACACAGCAGCCGCTCAGCAAGTCGGGGGTGGGGGCAATTTGTCATAGTTCTTTCAGAAGAGGGGCCTCGTACAGGAGCAGGCAGCCTGCCGCTGAGCAACCCAAGGCAGGTGGAGAGGAACCCTGTTTGGAGAGTACTGAGAGTCTACGTGAACGGGAGAGGGTACCGGAGCGCAGTCCCGAGGGCTATGACCAGGCCAGCACACAACTTAACTGGGACTGGGGAGATAGAGCAGTGGAAAAAGCTCTTTCAGCACATAAACGAGGATCAGAGTTCGGATCCCCCAAATCCATATACATGCTGAGCGGGACCCGCGGTCCACCTTTATTCTAGTTCTCTGGAAAAAACTAGGAAACTAGACCACCCACATTGCTAAGCTCCGAGATTAACTAAGAGACCCTGCCTCGGTGAATAAGGGGCGGAGCAGTCAAGGAGTGCTCCTAGTGTCGATCTGGGGCTTCCACACACGCGTGCACACATACACTCAAGCATGTGCATGCTCATACATGCTTACCACACACATGACTTTTTTTTTAAAAAAACAAAATAGAAGAAAATCAGACCCTTGGCACCAGATCAAGAGAGAGGCTGACCAGAGGCTGAGAGACATGTCTTTCACTCTCTGGGAGGATTCTGATGAACAGGCAGTCTGACAAGCCCACATTAGGGGTCTCCAAGGCACCTGCTGGCCGAGATGCCAGGAGAGGTTCTAGCACATTCCAGCCCCGCCCCTTCCCCAGCACTAGGACGTGTCCCCTGAGCTCTCACCCAGAAGGGGTCTCCATGCAGAGGTCCCACCATGGCCATGAAGAGCGGCTGCTGCAGCAGAGCGAACACGGCACTGATGAGGGACTGAAGGCCTGTCAGTGTCCCGAAGTGATTGGATGGGAACCTGAGAGGGACAGCCAAGAGTCAGAGGCAGGACCCCTCTCAGTCCAGCACCCACCCTGTTCCCTCCCCTGTGTTGGCCAGGAAGAGTGTTCCTCGAAGAATTCAAGTCTGCACATACCCTTGCGTCTCTAGCCTCCGAGGTCTGTGTCACTTCAGAACCAGCAGGCTGAGATCAATTACCTACTGTCTGTGTGGTCCACCTCTCTGTGCCCCACTTCCTCCACCAGTAGCAGGGAGAGGACAAGCCTCACTGGGTTTTTTATGTTATTTTTTTTTTCATAAATGTTTACTGAGCTTCTCCTACATACAGACACTGTTCTAAGCGCTGGAGGAAAGCATGAACCAGACAGACATCTTGTAGCTGTAGCAGTGGTATAAGCAAGATAAATGCATAGCGTGTTAATGCTAAGAGCTAAGCAGGAAAGCTGAACGAAGACGGGGGCCAGGGGCTTGCAAATGTAGATGAAGCGGCCAGAGGCAGTCACACCAAGAAGACAGATAGATGTGCCCCTGGAGAAGCTGAGGAAGTAAAACCGTAAACCTTGCAGGTAGCTGGAGGAAGAGTCAGGCGGGAACATACTTAGGGTTTGTTTACAAGTTGGCTCTTGAAGCTGAAGCAGAGACAGGGAGACAGGAAAGGAAAGGGGCAACGAGACCCTAGGCCCAGATCTTCGGCCCTACTCTGAGCAAGAGGAGACGGGAAACCACAAGTCATCTGAAGAGTGGTGGCTCCTACCTAGTGAGCCAGTCCGTGTTAAAGGGGGAGTGGGGAGGTGGGTGGTGGTGGTGCACACCTTTAATCCCAGCACTCGAGGAGGCAGAGGCAGGCGGATCTCTGAGTTCGAAGCTAGTCTGGTCTACAGCGCAAGATCCAGATAACCAGGGTTACACAGAGAAACCCCATCTCAAAAAAACAAAAACAAACAAAAGGCAAAGTGGGGAAGGCAGCAGCTAGAGGTGATGCAGCTTTGCAATGATCCGTGCTTGAGATGAGAGTGGGCCGGAGTGTCACTGAGGCAGTCAGGGCCGGGAAAGCAGAGGCGGGACCTGTGAAGGGTGGAGCCCAAAGGATGGCAAATCCCCTGCAGATGAGTGTCCAGAGAGAAGACCTCAAAGGCAACTGAGAGGCACTGGCTGGGACAATGTAGGAGAGGGGCTTCCCTCCGCTGAGACGGCTACAAGGAAGTGCAGCCAAGCACCCACCCAGAACCTTCCAGGGAAAGGACACGGTGTGATGTGATCCACGCAGAGAACTCTTTCAACAGTGCCTTGCAGTTGGCGTGAGGAGAGACGGAAACCAGCGTTGTTCATTGGGACACTATAAGAAATCTCTACAAGACAGGCCCGGGGAAGGAGGCCTCAACCCAGGTCCAGGGCCAACAAGTTCATCAGACTAGTGGTGTGGGAGAATTGTCTGTATTCTGTCGATCATGTTTTAAATAAAACGCTGATTGGCCAGGCAGGAGGTGTAGGTGGGAAAACCAGACAGGAAGTGGAAATGATGCAAGGAGAACAGGAGAATTCTGGGGAGGAGGAAGTTGATTCGTCCCACTTCTACCCAGATCACCGAAGCAACAGGATGTGAGCTGCCCCACTGAAAAAGGCACTGAGCCACATGGCTAACATAGATCAGAAAAATGGGTTAATCAAGACATGAGAGTTAGCCAGTAAGAAGCCTGACCTAATGGGCCAATCAGCATTATAACTTATAGAGATCTCTTGTGTGACTTTTCTCTGGGACTAAAAGCTGGGGGGCTAGGCAGGACAGAAACACAAACAAACAGGCCCGGCCCTTTCATGTTACAGACTAGGCTTTCCCCTTTTCTTGAGAAAGACATCGTAACTTTGGCGCCTCTGTGAATAGACAGTGGGCTCTCTGTGTTCACTGAGCTCCTGCCATGAGAGCTTCCATGATCACTTTCCCTCTCACAGTCGAAGAAAGGCCAGGAGAAAGACTGCTTTGGAGGAAGTCGGGGCCCTTTCAGCTCTGGCTAAGAATCCCTAACTGTTCAGGCAAAGCTCCAGAGGGCAACATGGTCCATGTGACTCACACGGCAGCATAGAGACCTCCGCAGGCTGAGTGGAAGAAACCACGAACTACGGTGTGCAGGACAAAGGCCACCAACTGAAACCCGAGAGAGAGAGAGAGAGAAGAGGTCAGAAAGATCAAGGCAGAGAGGAGAGGGACACGGGCTTTGCTGGTCCACTTACACAGTTCTACCCCGACCCGACCCCCACCAACACAATCTACTAGGCAGGGTCCTGGAGAACCCAGGAAGCAGGCCTGGAAAGAGGATACTTCTGGAGTATTCAGGCCCCAGTAGAGCATCTCCATAGGGGAAGCTCTAGAAATGGAGGAGTGGAGGAAAGCAGGTACCTGCAGGTGTAGGTTGCTGATGAGGCAGATGACACCAAAGCCCACAAGCAGAATGTTGGTCAGAGTGAAGGCATTGATGGCATTGGTGAGCTTTTGGATCTTTCGGTAGCGTGGTCTGGTGAACTTGGTGGTGGTCCCATCCCTGAAAAGAACAGGCAAGTCACTGGTTGCTGCCTGGAACTCCTGGAAGCTCCTTGGTACCAGTCTGGCCCCAAGCCCTGCTGGTGTGCCTGCAGAGTTCGGAAAGCAACCAAAGCTGAAAACCATTTCTCTGTCTAGAGAGATGGCTTGGGAAGTGAGGTGCTTGCCTCGCACAAATAAAAATCAGAGTTCTAACCCCTAAAGCTCATTAAAAAAAAATCTAGTATCATATTATACACTTCAATTCTGGCACTCAGGAGGCAGAGGTAGGTGGAGCGCTGTGAATTCAAGGCCAGCCTAGTCTACACGAGTGCTAGCCTGTGTCTAAAAATAAATCTGGGTGTAGTGGTAGTACCTGAAAACTCACTGTTGGGAAGGTGGAGATTGGTGGGACCCTGGACCTCACTTGCCAGCCAGTCTAGCCTACAGGGCAATCTCCAGGTCAATGGAGAATCTATGTCAAAAACAAAGCCAGCATGGGCAGCACCTGAGGACCAACAGCCAAGGTTGTCCTCTGGCCTCCACGTGCAAGTGCACACTCCCTCTGGCCTCTATGTGCATGTGTACATTCATGCCTGCATAAGCACACCTGGAAAAAAGAAAGCCATTTCTCCATAAGTGTGGTTTTCTCCCTGACTAGACAAGCAGCAAATGGAGGGGGTGTAAATCTACAGGCCCACCCCCAGAATGCAGGATGTCTAGAAGCCCAGGAATTGGCAGGAAGGTGGAGAGGGGTTTCCCCATACCATCTTCCCCATTGGCCTGAACCGAAGCAGGTGCCACTCTGGGCACAGCTTGGCATGACCAAGAGCTCTGGGCCGGCTCAGAAAAGAAGGGCAACAGGCTGGGATGAGCGCAGACTGCCCATCTGTCTAGGGTGACCTCAGCAAATGAGCCTTGGCACCTCAAGAGTGGAATGTAAAGAGAAGGCTGGAGCCTAGGAAACAAAGGGAAGCCACTGGGTCCATCCTCGAATGCTTTTCTCCTAGTCCCCCTCTCCCACATTCTCAGGACAAAAAAAAAAGTCAGGAGTTCTGAGTTTAGGATCCAATTTCAGTCTTCAGCCAGCAAGATGCCCATGGTAACCCTGGGCCTTCCTCTACGACACCAGGCTCAGTCTGTGACCACAGACAATGACAGAAATGGTGGTAGTTACCACTCAGACTGTGTCAGAAGACACAACAGCTCTCCCCTTTCTCAGAACTCTGTCAGGAAGCCACCTTCCATACCAAAAGTGTCCCTAATCCAAGCCACATTGGAATGCCCTGAACTTCATGTTCAGTTACACAAGCAAACTCAGGAACACTTCTCCAACCCAGACACAGACAGGTTCAGATGGCACAGCTCTGGCAGGAAGACAGAACACAGCCTCATGGGAAAGCCCAGGTCAGGTCCATCACGCTAGGGCATGCCCAGACTCTGTACCCTCAGCAGCTGTAGGGAATAGTCAACATTTGTTGTTTGGAGACAGGGCCATGCATTCCACAGCCATGGACAGCTGATAGGCCAGTCCTCCCTTTTCCTAGCCTTTGTTTTCAAACAGGGTCTCACTCTGTAGCCAAAGAAGGCAAAGGACGACGATGTAGCCCAGGATGACCTCAAATCATAGCAACCTCTTGCCTCAGCCTCCTGCCCCACACTAAGACAAGCTTAGGAGTGTACGAGTGTACGCTTTGACAAGCTTAGGAGTGTACGCTTTAGGACACTGGTTCAGGAGCCTGCTGTGTGGTCTCAGGCTGGTTACTCGGTGGTACACCCCGGTCTCAGCATCTTCGTCTGCCCATGAGGAACCCTCAGGAACTCACCTGCTAGAGACTCAAGTGACACAAAGTGCCTAGCGCCTTCCCAGCCCTCAACTAGAGGCATCCTTATGCCAAACAGGCCAAGTCTCCTCCAGCCTGTTTCCCTATCTCCAAGAGGTCTTGGACCTCTTAGGAAAATGACGTGGGATACTATATGCCCAAGCCTGGAGGAAGGGGAAGCGGCTGCCTGGGCTCGTCCTGTGGGTCACCTGGGATCTCCGGAGGAAGCACCCTCATGCAGGGCGCCCTCGGTCGGATCATCCACGCAGTCCTTGATGCGCCAGTCCATGATGTAGCCAATGAGGGGGCAGGTGAGAAGACACAGCAGCTGCATGACTCCGAAGATGGAGGAGTAGAACTCAACTGGGCAGGAGCAGAAGCGGAGTCAGGATGCCAGCGGAGGGACAGGATGCTCCAACAGCCTCCCTCTGATCCCCCAGTGAGAATGAATCCTGCCCAAGGAATGGGACACGGCCAGGGACCTGCCTTTATCTCCCTACCTGTCTCTTCCACCTTTTGTCTTTGCTCATTCTGCTCTGTAGGGAGAGGAAAGACATGGTGAAGGAAAGCTGAGCCAAGTGGCCCTCCAGTCCCGCCCTCCACCCCTCCCACCACCCCCCACAGGCTTTCCGAAGAGCCTCACCATGCTCCCGGCCACCAGTCACGAGGAACTCGAGTATCTTGTTCATGGCAGCCATGTAGAATATGACGCGCAGCTGGGTCATACACATGGTGACGAGGCTCCACAGGAAAATGGGGGAGCAGAGGCTCTTGCGAAAGGGAACAGACTCTGGGGAGACAGTGGGCGAGCGGTCAAGCCCCCGGACTTTCTGTTCCCCAGCTTACATGGGTCTAGCGGTGCTAAGACGGTGACTGTGGGACTCTAGAGAGGAATAAGCTTCTTGAGAGACAAAGGGTTCGGGCGCACTATCCTGCTAAGCTCCGTGACAGCCTCCATAGAACACGGTTAGGCGACCTAAAGGCTTCCAACATCTGTGAAGCAGCTGCTCTGAGTCACATATGTGACAAGCTTTATTTTACCAAATCAAAATTTTCCCCTTTTTGAGCCAGGCTTTCCCACATGGTACAGGCGAGGAAACTCTCTCTCTCACTCTCTGTCTCTCTCTCTCTCTCTCTATCTCTCTCTCTGTTTTTCGAAGCAGGGTTTCTCTGTGTAACAGTCCTGATTGCCTGGAACTCGCTTTGTAGACCAGGCTGGCCTTGAACTCACGGAGCTGGAGCTCCGCCTGCCTCTGCCTCCTGAGTGCTGGGATTACAGGCATGTGCCACCAACGCCTGGCTCAGTCTCCTAGTCTTAATCATCCTTCCATAAGGTTGAGCAATTGGATGATAAATCTTATGGCTGGACCCGTCCTGCACCTTATGAAGAGCTTGTATTGCCCATGGAGTCTTCCTTCCGGTCCTCATAACGAACCTCCCTGTTGGGTGATGGTTTCAGAGATGAAGGAAGGAGAGGGTGAGGACCAATGATGACGTCACACAAGGAAAGCAAGACTCAAGCTTGCACTCCAAGGTCGATGCTCCACCCCCAGTCACCGAGCCCCACAGGGAGTTAAGGTACTTTTGGAAGTGAACTTCAGGTTGGTGCAGCTCTTCCTATGGCCAGCAGGGGGTGTAGGCATGCCGGACAAGGAAGGCACTGTCTCAGAGCTCTGACTTGGCTGGGAGATTGATTATAACTCAGTGGTGAGCAGAAACTCAGCTGCCTCACAGGTCAAGAGGTTTTCCCTGTGCTGTAAGCTGCTCCTACCCTCATCCAGAGGATCCAGCAGGGTACCCCGAATCTGAATTTCCCTGGTGTCATTGAGCATTGACTTCCATATCTACATCCACAGAGGGTGTTGTGAAGACCGGGGAGGGTTGAGGATACACCCTACCCTACCTGCCCCCCTGGGCTAGAAACCTGACCAGACACTCACTCTCACGATGTTTTTCTGAAGTTCCAGAGATATCCTGGGATGAAATAAAGGCATCAGCCCCCTCCTCCAGGCTGGGGGCCTTCTGACTCAGCCGCTGGCCCACAATGGTTACATGGGTGTAGAAGCGGTCACCTGTGACCTTATGGTCCAAGGCTAGCCCAATGAGTTTGATCTTCTTCCTGCCAACAGTCAGACCAGAGCATATGAGAGTTAGTCGTGCGAAGCCGAACTTCAACTGTCCCAGCCTGTCCAAGATAAGCACCTCTTTATCTAGCACTGACATTCCTAGAAATTAGCTCCAATTGCTGCCTCCATCTCTCTTGCTCAGAGCCTGGCTTGGGCACCTGCTCATACAGATATCCAGAAACTGAAGGGCAGATGAGTGCTTTCCTCTTGGTCTATTTTTATGGAGGAGGTGGCATAGCAGCTTCAGACACCAGCTTAGCCAGGTCCCATCCAAACTTCGCCTCGCCTCCTTTCAAGGCTAGAACTTTAGCGAGTCCATTTGTCATTAATGGAGTTAATAACACATTTACATCTACAGTCACTTGGGAGTCAGTACAGCGTGTGGCAGATAGTAGGCTCAATAATGTCAGCTATGTGACTATTACCTTCTGAGCTAGGTTCTGCAGCACCGCTTCCCGCTGTCGGTTAACTGAAAGGGGACTGGAAGAGGCTGGCATGCAGCTTGCCCCCACAAAAAGCAGTATGCTAGTTGGCAGTGTCTTGTTTGGGTCCATGGGACACTTCACACTAGTTCAGGGGTGGGAGTGGGGTCTCCCACTCTGACCTTCTCCTCCAAAGTCAGAGGAAATATTACCATTAATAACAAAGCACTTGTTGACTACCTACTATGTGCCAGCTCTACTACTAAAAATAAAATTAAATTAAAAAAAAAAAACAAAACACCAAAACACCCGTGAGCCCATGGCTCGGATGCAGAAGCAGAACTGGGAAGTCTGAGGCCATTTGCATAACCGAATTCGAAGTCCAAGTGTAAGGGCAAAGCTGGTTCTGTCTATGACATCCTCTTTGCCCTGGCCTCAACCCTCTACTGCAGGGGGCAGGGGACAGGAATCCAAGTCACACGCCAACCTCCTCTCCCAGCCTCTCACGTGTAATCAACTTCCTCGGGGGCAGGAAAGGCTTCTGCGGGCCAGTTGAGAGCACAGTTCAGAAAGATAAGACAGGCCAGGCCAGACCAAGTGAACATGATGACCATGAAGGACACTCCAGCATCGTAGATCAGCTGTTGGGGAAGGACAGGCCATGGAGGAAGAAGCCAGCTTGCTCGGGCCCCACAGAGGCAGAACCCTTGGAGGGTTGGGGCCTCCAAGGTCTCTTCCATCCCATTCCTTATACCCAATGTGCAGGCAGAGAAACCAAAGCCAGAAATTGAAAGTCAGACCCAGAAAGTCTGCTGTTCCATCCCTTCCTTTACCTGAGCTCCACCAAGGGGGCGTGGAATTATCCTTACAAAGTACTGAAGGTGGCCGCCACTCTCTCAACGTGACTGGGAAATCTCAGTGTTTGCCCATGACTCCTTAGAAATGCTCACTTTTTGCACACACACACACACACACACACAAAAATGTTTCATATCATATGCACAGGGAAATTAATGTTTTGGGTTTAGCTAGCACATTTCCTCACAGAGAGGCAAATCAAACCTGAGAAGCCTTATCTCACGACTCCCAAGTGCACACAGGTGCACGGGCTGCAGAGAGCTGAAGTAATCCAGCAAGTTTCTAACCCCAGAACAAACAGGTTTCGAATGGGCTGGGATCTGATGCAAATGGGACAGCCCCTCTGATAAGAGAATTGTTTCCCATTGTCTTCCCTGACAGTCCCCTACTGAGAGCTCTGGTCACTGTGGGAGAAACTTCCAGTCTTCCAGGAATTTGGGCCTTGTGCTCTTCCTTCTGGGGGCAAGACAAAGCCTCAATAAACAGCACCCCTTAAGCATGTAGGGATAACATAGGACTCCTCAAGCCTACCCACCCCAAACTCCTTTAGAGAAGGCATGCCCACAAAACTAACAAAATAACTCCTCAAGGTGAACTCTGATCTGGTGGAAAGGGTGCTTGGACAAACTTGACCAAGGAGGAAGTAGAGGCCTCCAGCCCACCCCAAGCTCAGGCCTCCAGCTCCCAGGCCCATCAGGCTGACCTGACCAGGATCTACTCTGACAGATTTGCCTGTGACCTTAGACCAAGTTACTCGGCCTCTCCAGTGGGGAGATACAGCCCAAATATCTGGCCTCCTCAATGTAAAAGCACCACTCACCCAGCCCCATCCAATTCCGGTGTCAAGGCAAACAGACAAAGGAAATGGTTCAGCTGGTAAAGTTTGGGTCTCTATCATACATGTAAAGGCAGAGTGTGGCTGCACACACCTGCAACCCAGTGTGGGCTGTGGCTGTGGTGTGGGAACACACAGATCCCAGAGGGCTTCCTGGCCTGCTAGTCTATCTGAAACCATAAGCTCTTTGTTCAGTGAGAAACTCTGTCTTAAAAAACAAGACAGAGAGTGAGAGAAGAAGACCCCATTATCAACCTCTAGCTGCCACATGCACAAGCATGAGTGAGTCCAACTGTAACACACACGCGCATACACACGTACAGACACGCACACACATGTACAGACGCGCACACACACTCACACACATGTACAGACACGCGCACACACGCACACACCCGTACAGACGCGCACACACACACGTACAGACACGCACACACACGTACAGACACGCACACACCCGTATAGACACGCACACACATGTACAGACATGCACACACAGAGACGCGCGCACGCACACACAGACATGCACACACACTCACACGCACAGACGCGCACACACACAGTGAAAGAAGGAATATGACAACCCAGCCCTACCAAGGGTTCCGTACCTTGATTCCAGGGAACGTGATGGCCGAAGACGCATAGGAACCAATCATGAGGGCCATGAATGTGGAGCGCAAGTTCCCGAACATGTTGGGCAGCTGAAGCAGAGGAGCAACTCTGTGAGCTGGTGATACGCTAATATCATGCCAGGCTTCCCTGTCTTAGCACTTCACAGAAAAGCTCCGGGGCTACAGTATGGCATTTCTCAATGTGCACGCTAGGAAGGGCGGACCCAGAAGACCTACAGAAAAGTCCCAAGGGAAATCCCACACTGGGGAGCACACTCATTCTGATCCCCTCTAACGCACTTCTGATATTTTTGGGCACCTAAAAGGGTTCCAGAAATACCCCTAGAGAGAACTTTTAACTTTGTCTCATCCTAGGACTGCCCAGGGTTTTTATCCAGGGGACCCCTTTATCCAGTGACCCCTGGATAACCCCCAGGAGCAGGTGAGAAGAAACCCTGATCTAAGGGCAGGAGAGCTCACTGAGTTCAACTCTCAACACCGGCACAGTGGCTCACAACCTGTCCATCATTCCTGTCCCAGAGATCTGATAGCCTCTTCTGGTCTCTGCAGGTACCAGGTAGGCACATAACGCCCTGACATGCATGCAGACAAGACATATATGTGACACAAACAAATAAAAAGTTTTTTTAAAAGAAACACTGATGTAAGCCGACTCATTTCTAACACGAGAAACTGAGGCTGTGAAGGGAAGAAGAAGACTCAAGTTCACAGCCTTAAAGACCTCCTCCCTGTCCTGTCCCATCGAGGCTGTGTCTGTGGATGACCTTATCACACAAAGGTGACCTATAATCCTCTCTTGGGGCCCAAATACCACAGCCTCCAGGCTCTGCTTACCCAGGAAAAATCATGGAAAGACCAGGAAGGCCAGGATGAAGTGGTGGGAGCTCTGATGTCCCAGAACGCCCACCAGCAATGAATTAATTGATGGTGATATGTTCTGCTCACTAACAGTGTGCCAGGCCCTCCGAGAAAGGGAAGGCGAAGCCCTCAAGATCATCTGTATCCTCCTCTCTTAATCCCACTGACTTCCAGGGTTAGGAGACAACATAGCTAGACGGGACCTTAGATGTCATACAGAGGTCACAAGAGCAACGGCTCAGTCAAGGAACCTCAAACAGTGATGGGAAGTAAAATATTTAAACAGAGAAAGGAGTTATCCTCGATCCCAAGAGCATAAAGTAAGGGGAGGCCAAGCAGACTCCCCGTTAGAACAGAGGTTTCGCTAGCGCCCTCTCTCTGCCATGTTTCCTGCCTAGGACATAAGGGAAAGATGCTAGGTCTTAGATCCCAGTCCCTCGAAGAGGTTCAGCCTCAGTCTAGCTAACCATAGGCTCACCCAGGAGGTAGCATATTGGCCAACTGGCGTTAGTTAGCGCCTGCTGCTGGTCTGAAACAGCAAAAGGTCAGGGTCAGGGCAACAAGCGGAGGGGCGGGGTGTGGCGGACGCCAGGCCATACCATTGGCTGGAGATGAGGGGACGACCGGAAGAGGAGCGCAGACAGGCAGGCCCTCCAATCCCATCCACGACCCAGGGCAGGGTCCAGGTCAAGCCTCCGGCTCCAGCCCCAGAAGAGACTTAGAGACCGGAGTCAATTTGCACAGCGGGAAGGGGTTGCTGCACAGAGGGTGGATTGGAAGGGATCAGCTTCCTTGAAAGTTGTGAAATGTGTCCCCAGCTGCAGTTAAAAGCAGCTGCTGGGATGAGAAATTCGGCCAAAACATCCAGTTTGGCCGCATCAGAGATAAACAACCAGAAACGGCCCAACGGGGACTCTTCTTTCTCACCGCCACCCTGCTAAACTTTTAACCCGTATATCCACAGACATCCACAAATACATACGGTAAAAACAAACTCACACAGATACGTCATAGGCGGGGTCACACGAAAGCGGGTCAAAACTAGTTAACTATTTGTAAATTCACACGAGCGAGCGCAACCTCGCACATGCCTGTTTCCTCTCAAGCTCTTTCACACACTCCCCGGAATGTGGCAAAAGGTCCACGCGGCTAAGCTGCTCCTTCAACCTCGCGACTACTTGACCCAGCTGAGTCTTCTTCCCAGTAGTTATGACTGTTGACACGATTTATTAGTGTGCTTGCTTGTTGGGTTTTCTGTCCCACCCCTCCCTAAGTCCCATATGGAAGCTTCTGGGAGATGAGGACATAGTCCTGTTTGTACTGTGGACTCCGTGCAGGAACAGAGCTCAACCAACGCTCACCGGCTCAGTACACACACAGAGAGCCTCACCCACGCAGAGCTCCGTGCCTCCCGTTAGCTCCCCACCTGCACGGTTTGACACACAGGCACTTGATCTGGCTACTTCTCACTCGGCAGATTCTACAGTTATTTTTATTTACGCGAATGAGTGTATCTGTGTGTGCGCCATGTGTGTGGTCCCCTTGGAGACCAGAAGAGGGTTGTCAGTTTCTCTGGCGCGCTCGATTGATAAGCAGTTGGGAGCTGCATGACTTAGGGAGGGCTGGCAACCAAACTCTGGTCCTCTGCAAGAACAGCAAATGGTCTTAACTGCCGCTGGGCCTCTCCAGCCACCCTTCACTCACATCTAGCCCCGCCCACTCCCAGGTGTCTGGGTGGCTGCCAGGACGTGTCCGTAATACTCACAGTGAGTGAGGTAAACGTTAGGCAGATGCCAGCAAACCCGTTCAAGGATAGTGCCAGGAATATCAACGGAGACAGAACTGGGAAGAGAGAGAGAAGGACGGATGAGGACATTTGTGGAGCCATGGCGTCAAAGCCCACTCTGATCCCCACGCATTCTAGAGACGGCAGACGGCTCACCATTAGTGTCCCGAGAGGCCAAAGCCATAAGGGTGCAGGATGCGGCAAAGCAGGCACTGTAAGGACACAGAAAAGTGGGGTGTAACTTATTAGCCCCTTCCATCCCCTGCATCATCTTCCTGGCCCGGCATCTCCTCCACAATCCAGCCACCTCACCTGCCCACCAAGCGCAGGGGCCGGGGCCCGAAACGGTCCATGAGAATCCCCAAAGGCAGTGTGGTAGCGCTTAGCAGGAAGGAGCCAATGGTGAAACCCAGATTGAGCATCTTGTCCTGCTGGTCACAGCTTGGCCACTGGTGCGGTTCATCTTGGGTGGTGTTGGTCCTGTTCTCGGCTGAGGAGGGGATGGGAGGGCTCAGCACAATGGAAACAGGAAAGCAGCCTGGCCCAGGGGTCCTGCCTTCCGATTGAAGCCTCTGATCTGAACTAACCAGGGGTTCCTAGAGTTAACACGGAGTCCCACATGCTCTGTCTGGGATGGGAAAAGAGCTCAAGAGTAAGGGCAGTTTAGCATCTGGCCCTGAGAGAACTACACACGTTCTCAATCCGAGGCTTCAATGAGCTCAGCTGAGAACGTGGACACCAAAGTGTGTACCAGGTTGTGATAGTCGCTGGGGAGCACCGGTGGAGAACACCCCAAATGAGATGGCAAAATCGGGGGCTTGTTCTCCAATGCATGTAACAGGAATGCACATAAAAAATAGGGGAAGCCTCAATAAGTGATATTGATAGCAACAGCTAGTACTGTTTAGGATTCAGTATTCATCATTTACTACCTAGCATGAAACTATGTTCCAGACACTGCTCTGCACAGATCCTGTGAGTCACACAAGCTCCCAAGGGTCCATTAATAAAACATCCCATCCCCCACATGGTGAGACCAAAAGTACGGGGCAGGGGAGGGAGGGCTTCAGCTGTGAACTTGGGAACTGGGACAAGGTAAAGCAAAGGGCCAGGAGAGGGGACAGAGGGTGACTCTACTTAACTCTGTGCATTGAGCCATGAGGTGGCTGGCTACCTCCAAATCGTTTCTGGGTTGTGCTGCCAGGGTAAAACAGGGCATACCTAGGAGACAGGCCAAACAGGATCTCCATTCCCACTGCCCACCTGACTAGCTATGAAGTCTCTCGGCCAGGGAAACTCCCTCAGTCGGTGCCTCAGGCTCCTTGTCTATTAACAAGGGCAGAGAACAAGCAGCCTCAGCTGGAGACAAGGGGGAGCGTTTCTGCACAGTTCCTGGCCCAGGGGAAAGGGCTGAGGCCCATTCCAGAGCTTCAGAAATAGTTGACAACGAGGTTGAACACAGACCCACCAGATCACACCCTGAGACTGGAAGCTCTGCAAAGGTTTGTGACAGGGAACGAATGGATGCTGGTTTAGAGGAGAGGAGGGCTGTTTGTAGTGACCCATGAGTGTCATCCCAGCCCTTAGGAGGTTGAAGCAGGAGAATTGCCTTGCAGTCCGCCTGAGCTACTTAGTGAGTTCCAGACCAGCCTAAGCTTTGTGTGAGGTTCTGCTGAGAGAGAGAGAGAGAGAGAGAGAGAGAGAGAGAGAATCATTAACTAAAAATACAAACATGGTAAGCTCTGTGAAGGGACATGACTGTGCCTGGGTGCTGAGAGAGAGGGTGGCCCTAGACCCTGACTTCAAGTAACCTCAAGCTGTCAAAGGACCTACAGGTAGCACAAGGTTAATGAGATCTGTGTGTTAGCATAGAAGGAACATAAAGATGGGTCAGATCTGAAGAGCAGGCTGCCAGAAAAGGAACTGCCTTGGGCAGTACCAACTACCCTGGGAGGCTAGGGCCAGGGCTAGGATACCTGGAGGAAGGACTTAGGGGGTTCAACCGCTCAGCCTTTGAGGTTCCTGCTAACCTCCTTCCTTTGCTATCTTTATGAACGCCACCCACTTCTCCACCGGGTCTGTCCACATGGGAATATTCTGATTGGTCACCAGCATTGCAGAAGGAGAAGTCAGAGCAAAGGCCACAAACAGGTGACCACCCCCCGATTCTCTCTCTACCCGTGTTTTGCTAGACCGCCAGCAACTTAGGTTGAGCATCATGTTAAAGAGAAATCCAGTTTTCTATTTCATGGGAGCTTGGGCGCCTCAGCTGGACATGGTGGAATGCAACCACAGCCCCAGCTACTCGGGAGGCTGAGGCAAAATGGCTTGAGCCCAGAAGTTTTGGGCCAACCTGAGCAATATAGTAAAAAGAGAGGGAGAAAAAGAGAGAGGAGGAAGGGAGAGAAAGCCAAAAAGACCTAGCTGTTGCTGGCCTCCTCTTCCGCCAGGATTGTTCTCTTTTGAACAGGTTTATGTCTGTCTCACAGCCCCCAGACGCTAGCTAGCTACCTCACACCTGCCCTGCTGGCCTCATTTATTATTATTCTCTTGCCCTACACGGCAGGTGAATCTGTAGCCCCTGAGTTAGACAATTTCATCATCAAATGACAAGTTTCCTCCCAGGTAATCTCATGAGTTTGCAGAAAACACTTACTTTGTGCCAGACCAAAGCTCAAAATCTTTACAACAACCCTAAAAAGTTAATAGAGAGGTCTGTATGATAGATGATGAGGCTCCCAGAAGCAAAAGCACTCAGCCACCTAGTGACCGACAGGGGCCTCCCGTTCAAGCTCAACAGAATTTCCAGAGCCAGCAGCACAGATTTGCCACACCACCCATGCCAGCTGTCCCAGAGGCCAGCTTGGAAACTTTCCCAAGTATCTTCTAATGCCAGTAAATATGGGTACCCCGCTCCAGGTACCCAGCCCAGCGGGCTGCTGACGGCTGCTCAAGGCCTGCTAAAATGTAATTTTTTTCTGGTTTAATCAGTCAGCTTCTTGGGAGTTCCATATGAACTGGCTCCTGAAGCCTGATCACTCTGAGTGGCTGGTTAAAGAACTTGTGTCCAGGAGATACAAGTCACAGCAGAATAAGTCTGGCATCCAGCTGCCCCATTTTCACGGAGGGATGATGCGCGAGCAGAGGAATGCGAAGGCCCTCAGTGAGCGAGTGAGGCTGCTGGGTTGACAACCAATGAAAAGGAGTCTCCACCTCTATGCTCCAGCTCTTACTCCTGATTAGCTGGGTGACCTACACACATCACAGTTGGCCGTTCACGCGACAGGGCCACTCAAATTGGGGTTAGGTAGTATATGGAGTGACTTCTGAGGCTCCAGTTATCAGTTACTTGTGCATTAGAAACATGCATGAATACATGTATTTCTCAGGAATATATGTACATATGTATATGTGTATACAACATCAAACCCAAGGTTACACCACACTTTAAATAACAGTAACAAAAAAAAAAAAAAAAACCAGTAACAGAAATTCCAAAGGGAGCTTGTAAATAAATGATCGTGTCTGAGAGACCCTGGGAAATGGATCATGGGTAAGCATGCACCTCTGGTCAAATTCTGGCCTCACTAGCTATGCTGTTGAAATCCTCTGAGCCCTGGTCCCACCTCTGAAATGGGGACAGTGGCCTGAGACCCCTGGATCTGAGGAAGGGCTGAGGACCATACAGGCAGAGCAAACTTAAAATGATTCCGTTTTCCTTTTCTCCTACTCCATGTTTGCATCCTTATGTTATTTTCGTGCTGGTGATGTAGTCATACCGCCAGAATACCTCAGGATGAAGTTCTAGCTGGTTAAGTCTTGTCTATGGCACTGGGAATGGGATGTTGGAGCCAAGGCCTGTGCTCCGTTAGAGATAAGAAGTTTAAAGACAGGCCTGATGCTAAGCAGAGTAAAAGGAGTGATCCCCTCAGAGTGAGACCCCACCCAGCTAGTCCTGAAGCCTGTGAAAGGAGAAGACCTGAGGGATCTGATGCCCAAGAAGCCAAAAAGCACCAAGGAGTCAAAGCCGAATGCAAACGTAACTTAAGGAGGGGGCCGGGTTCCAGCCCCAGCAGAGTTTGGCAGCCTCAAGCCCAAGCCCGTGGTTCAAGAAGGATAGCGGTAAATACATCCATGAATCATTCTCTTTTGTTAAGGAAAGTCACTGAGCCCAGGTGTGTGCTAGGAAGTCTCTACCTGGAGGCCCAGAGAGAGCGTTTCCTGAAAGCTATGAAAAGGGAAACTTGGCTGCACTGGAGACCCCAAGCTGCCGGAGATTCCCGAGCCATGGATGGGATGTCAGCCAAGGAAAGCTGCCAACAGGGAGTGGCACCAGCCCAAGAGAGAGAAGCGGGATGCAGTCAACAAAGTGGGAAGATGGCGGGAGATGGGAAGAGCCCTGTGATACGTGGCATGAGGTTACAGGATTTGGAGTTTGCCCTGCCGGGTTTCAGTCTCCCTCTGGTCCAGTATCTCTTCATCACGCCCCTTGCCTCCTTTGGGGAACGGGCAATAAATATTCTGTGTCATTGCGTGTGAAAGTAGGTTGGTGTGGGAGAATTGTCTGTAATCTGTCGATTATATTTTAAATAAATGCTGATTGGCCAGGCAGGAAGTATAGGCGGGAAAACCAGACAGGAAGTAGAGGTGATGCAATGAGAACAGGAGAATTCTGGGAAGCAGGAAGCTCCCTCCAGCATTCCTGCCCAGACCACCAGAGAAGCAAGATGTAACCTGTCCTGCTGAAAAAGGTACCAAGCCATATGGCTAACAAAGATCAGAATAATGGGTTAATATAAACTACAAGAGTTAACAAGAAGCCTGAGCTAATGGGCCAATCAGTTTATAACCTAATGTAGACTCTGTGATTTTCTTTGGGACTTGCTGACTGTGGGGTACTGGGCAGGACAGAAACCCCAACAAGCCGGCCCTCATGATACAGTAGGTAATCATTTTGAGTTTACAGGGGTTGCAGGTAAGAGATTGCCTTGAATCTCGGAAGAGACTTTAAATGTAGAGACTGTTATAGACGACGGGGACTCCTGAAGTTGGACTGAATGGATTTTGTGTTATGATGTGGCCCTAAGTCAAGGGGGCAGACAGCAGAATGTGGTGGTTTGAATGGGAATGGTATTTGAATGTTTGCTTCCCTGTCGGTAGATCAGCTTGGGAAGGGTTAGGAGGTGGGTCACCTGGGGTGGACTTAGAAGTTTCAAAGACTCCAGCCAGACCTAGCCTGTCTCTCTCTGTGTCCTGCTTGTGGGTCAGATGTGAGCTCTCAGCTACTGCTCCAATATTCCCTGCCATGATGGCCATGGATTCACCCTCTTAAACTATAAGCAAGCCCCCAATTAAAGGCTTTCTTTTGTAAGTTACCTTGGTTACGGTGTCTCTTTACAACAATGGAACAGCAACTAAGCCAGCTGGACGCAATCGTCAGCTATTGGTGGTTGGGACATACAAGCTGTTCCTCCTTGTTCTCCTCCTTACCAGCTGGGTGACCTTAGGGGAAATGCCTAGCATACCCCAGGTGCAGGTTTCTCTCCCCAAAATGGGTTTTACAAGGAAATCTGAAGACCTAACAGAGAGTTAAATATTTAATGACTGCTAGCACTTTTTGTTTTGTTATTGTTATTAGTGTGTCGTGACTAAATTTTAAGTAACCGTCCCCATTAGCTCCCACCCCAGAGTATATATTGGGGGGAAGGTCCCCAAAACATAGAGTGTGACCAAGAAACCCCAAAGCCTGTACTAATATCAACCTCAGTTATGAGCTTGACATTTGCTGAGCTCCTCAACTGCTTGTTCAGGCCACCTTTTGAGTCATATATTATTCTGTGGCAAGAAAAATAACAGTTATGCAGGTGAAGACCATTGCAGAAAATCACGATCAATGAAAATGCAGAGACCAAGTAGCCATGTGATGCCTCATTATACATCTACCACACAACTCCTACGCCTAAGGCCCAAGGATCGTCATGGAAGCAGGGACAGAGGGTTGCAAGGGCCAGAGGAAGAGGAGGATTGCATCTCCTGGAGAGGTCAGCAAGGGCTCACGATGGGTGAGGCACCAGGAAGCGGAAAGGGGTGCTTCTGATCAGACAGAACGAGCAAGACAGAACAGGCGCGCCATCCCATCCACCAGCCTGCAGAGCCCCTGAAACGAGGAGCTGGGGAGAGGCGCTGTCCGCTCGCTGCTTTCTAAAAAGGCACAAACACGCTCTGGGAGAAAAGGACAGGCGTTCACATCGTTTACCACAAACAGCCAGCCTCAACCACACACCTGCTTTTGAGCAACTCAAAACATCATGTCAGTACCTCATAAGATCAAGGATCTGAATGGAAGCGCCTAAACCACAAAACTAAGAAACACACAGGTGCAGATTTTTGTGACCTTAAATTTAGTCAACAGTTTCTTAAGCAGGATGGAGTAGCAGAATAAAAAAAAAACAGGCAAATAGGATTTTAACAACATTCAAAACAGATACACACACACACACACACACACACACACACACACACACACACACACACAAAGAAAAACACCAAGGTTTAAAAAAGAAAAAAAGAAAGAAGTAAAAGAAAACTACATAAACAATTTAGATATATAAAGAACTCTTACACTTCAATAAGGGAAAGACAGGACTATACAGCTCAGTGGCAGACTGTATATATGCTTAGTACACGTAAGGCCAAGAGTCCAAGTCTAGATAAATAAACAAGCAAATAACACTACTTAGAAACAACCACTGTTGGGAATGTGGAGAGACTGGAACCCCTTATACGCTGCTGGAGAGAATTTAAAATGTGGTACTCATTTTGAAACACATTAAAGTTACCTTCATAACCCAGCAAGACACTCTAAAATAAATACATAGGCACGGGAGTATTAGCCTTCACAACCGAAAAAGTGGAAATAGCCCAGGTGCCTATCAGCTAATAAAGAAAAGTCATACAGGGCTTAGCTTGTACGTGGACAAAGGGTGGACCAAGAAGACGTCATGCAAAGTGAACGAAACCAGCCACAAAGACAAGATTCCATTTCTAGGAAATGTTTCGAATAGGTATAGCTGGTATTCGTCACAGCCAACCTACAGCGGAAAGCAGACACGTGGTTGCCTGAAGAGAAAACAGGGGGGCTGGTGCTGCGAATGAGTAAAGGGTTGATAAGGTAAATGCTCTAATTTAAGGGGTGACTATGTGAGACCGAATACACTATAACCTATTGTATTGTATGTTTTGGTTTGGTTTTTAGAGACAGGGTTTCTCTGTGTAGCTCTGGTTGCCCTGGAACTAACTATGTAGACCAGGCTGGCCTCAAACTTACAGGGATCGGTCTGCCGCTGCCTCCCAAGTGCTGGGGTTAAAGGCGTGCACTACCACCATCTGGCTTATATTGTATGTTTTAAATGAAGGATTTAGATATAATTGTAGGTCCTTAAAAGTTTTTGGGAGTGGTAGAAATGTAAATATTGGCTGTTGTAATGAATACTGGAATGTATCAATTTGTCAAACATCACCAAAATATACAAGGTAATTTTCTGTAGAGTTAACTTAGTGAAACCCTACTACCTCCAGGTGCAGAAGTCAGGGAAGAAGCCACTGCATGGGCTATAGCAGACATAAAGGCCACCAGGCAACAAAAGAAAGGTTCTCTCTAGTCTCCAGGGAAAACTCAGAGGGATTTGAGTTTGTGGGGGTGGTCGACCGTCTCTAAGGTTCCCTGTCACTCCATTCCACCTCAGTCTTCCTACTCCTCAAGAGATCTACCCTGACTTCCTAGACTGAGGCTAACTCCATCATCTCCAGCCCCACCCTTCAGTAACTGGGGCCAACTACAGGGGCAGGGTGCCATACTTGGGTGCAACCCATTGCTTCCTTAGAGATAACTTTGGCAGGGGTGGGGCAGCCACCATGGTATAGCTGGTGCTGCAAATAAGAACAGATATCACAACCTTCCCACCTCCACCCTCGAGGAGATGGCTTTCCGACCTTCCCCACTCGCAGTATAAGTTTGAGGCATGGGTTGAGCTGGGGAACCAGGAGAAGCCAGACGTTTACAGTTGCCAAGTATTGCTGAGTCTCACAGCCACCCCCACGGACAGATATCACTAATGTCCCTAGGTAATGGATGCTCTATGTGTAAGGAACTCACTGGTTCAATGAGGAGGAAGCTGGGATCCAAATCCCTAGTGGCCTTCCTTCCGTTCTTGCTCTACAACATGGCGGAGGCGGGAGAAGGGACAGAGGGAGGCACACCAAACTGTACCCCCACACAGCTCTTTTGCTGAGTACAGCACTCTCCTATCCCGGGAAAGAAAAACATCCACGGAGTCCTAGCCACCAAGTAAGGAGCCCCACCCCACCCCCCACCTCCCGGATGCAGGCAGGCAAGCTTTGGCTGCAGTTACCGTTCTCAAAGAGTTTAGGATTCCCACTCCACAGAGACCAAGTTGATTGACTTGGAAATCAGAAACCCACCACCGATATCCCTTCTAGAGGAAATAGGGCTGTTAACTGTATGCAAATGGGTGATTTGTAAAACTCGGGACTCCAAGGTCCTGAAAGTGCAGTCCCGTTTGTGTGCCTCTGCTTGGTCTCATAAGAACACTCTTGTGTGTTGGTGATGTCGCTCAATGCTTGCTAGCTTGCAAAAGACCTGGGTTTAACTCTTATCCAGGTAGGTACAGCACTTCAAAGGATCTACATGCTACTCTATAGACTGGAGGTTGTCAAAAGCAGTAGTCTCAGGACTTGGAGGGCCAGCAGGACACCGGCATTCAGGGACCACTGAATCAAAGAATCCTAACGGACTGGGCACATGAAGTTGGAAGAAGTCAAGAAGTGAAGCTGTCCAATTCCTATTTGCCCAGTGTCCCAGTCTTGGGCTTTGTCTCCGCCTGACCACCTGTCCTTGCTTTCCAACTTCCTACCTCCTCCTTCTACCGTTCCTCGCGGTCCTCACCCCCAATCCCAAACCCTTCTCAGATATACCTGGGCACAGACTGGAATAGAAGCCTTCCTTCTTGAGCATGATCAGCAGGGAGGCCCAGCCCAAGAGCACCGCGGAGAAGAAGAGGTTCTCCAGCACAGCGGTGCAAGCCATCCACCAGCGCCTGCCGTACGCCTGCTTCAGCGTGGGGGCCATGGTGGCCGAGACTCTGCAGAGAAACAGTGCGCTGAGAGAAGGACTTCCTAGCGGCCCTTGAGAAGGGTACTCCATCATGGTGGCTCCCGAGACCCCCGGAGCCAACCCGAGATGGAGCCCTCATGGGGGTCCCATAGAGCCCGGTGTTGCGGAGCTGGCTCCGCGCGCTCTGGCAGTGCCAGGGGAGAACGCGCCACTGGCCCGGAGGGCACTATCAGGAACTAGAAAGAGAGAAGCAACTTCCTGGCGCGCTGCCGGGCTCATCTACCCGGGCCAGAGCGCACAGAGCCCGCTCCTGGAACCAAACCCCAAGTTCCCAAAGTCTCCCAAAGTCAGCAAGGGGCGGACCGTGCTCTGTAGCCACCGCTGACCCACGCCTAGCCAGCCTCTGGCGCCAGATCGGACTCTCAGAAGCGGGCAGGAGGCGGAAAGGGAAGTCTGGGGCTAACCCGAGACCCTCTATTCTTGTTACGCCTTTCATTCTACTCCTCCTCTCCAGTGCCCGGGTAGAAAAACTCCTCCCGCTCGCCGCAGCCGGCGCTCGAGTCCCTCCGGTCTCCTGGGCCAACCCCAAAGCTGCCACGTGGAGAGAGACCCTGGGCGGGCCCCGTGGCGCCCCCGCGCGCCCCTCACTCCGCCGCGCGCCTGGGAACCCGCCAGCCCCTAGGTCCCGGGGAGAGGGCTGCGGCTCCGGCAGGAAATCCTGTGCCTGCAGACTTTATAAGGACAGTGGCGGAGGATGGGATGGCTGGCGGGCGGGTGTGTTTACCAAAGGGAACGAAGAAATCGGAGTTCGCCCGGGCCGCGGTCGCCACCGCCAACAAGGGAGGCGAGACCCAGGCACGCGGAGAGGGGACACACAGGGAACAGCAAGCTAGAAAGATGAAAGGGGAGGAGACGCTGGCCCCTTCTCCAGGGGGTGGTCAAGCTTCTCATCTGTAAAATGGGGCTTTCGATTCAGTGATTCCCCGAGGTCCCTTCCCAAAGTGACAACTGTGGCTCTAAACAGAGTGGACTAGAAGAATGGAGGGGTCGGAGAGAGGGGACAATATGCCCAGTGTCTCAGGTAACAGGCGCTTCGAGGGGACCTGCAGATGTGGCTGGGTAACTTTCAGCTGCACCAACTGCTCACCTGTCCCCGGCAAACTTGCCTCCCGCAACCGCTGACACCCGGGGTAACACAGAGCCTCCGCGGCGCTCCCACACTCCGGATCGCCGGAGACCCAGGATCCCAATGCCAAGTCGCATCCACGCGGGGGTCTTCCGGGCGTTCCAGACCCAGTCGGCCTCGGAGCCTGCCGATCTCTCCTCGTCTGCGCCCTCGAAAGAAGCGGTAGACCTGGGAACCGTCCGGGCGCCACAGAGCCGGGAAGTCGGGAAGCCGGGGCATGGACTACCGATCTGCCGAGTTGATTGCTGTATTTACAGGCGTCCAGAGCGGCGCCCCAAGGTGGGGGCGGGGGTTCCCTTCCCTTCCCCTCCCCTTAGGTCGAGTTTCACTCACACGTGACTCGCCTGTTGGTCCCCAGATACTCTTCTTACCCAATTAGACCCGGGTGCCGAAATTTCCACTCTAGACCCCCGCACCTTCTCTGTTGAACCCCTGAACTAACGTTTGACAGCATTCTCTGTATCTTTGTTCAAAACAACGCAAGATTTGACTGGAGTTGGCCTGGATGCTGGGAAAGACTTGGATGGGGTTTTGAACTGTGAAATCAAGAGGAGTGTTTTCTTCTGAGAGTTTATATGCTCCAATTTCGAGTCTGCATTTTGAAAACTGACTAACCTGGGATACTCTGGGCCACTTAACCTCTGAGAGCTCAGTTCCCTTCGCTATACAGTGGGATGGCAGTAGAATTTGCCAGCCTGTCGAGCGGGAATTAGGATGCCATTGTAATGCTGGGTACACTTGAGTGCAGTATTAATTGTTGCGACTATTGTCCTTATTTCCCAAGACTCAATGGTCAGGTGCTTCTGGTCGACAAGTGATTGATTTTGGTAAATCGTTCATCCCACCTGGCCTCGAGTTCCTCTTCTGTAAAACAGGGAAGGTATTCAGTACTTACGTGGACAATGGTGCCGATTAAGGAAGCAGCTGTGCTGAAGGAGGGTATGGATGTGGGTCAATTCCGTGCATTAGCGTGCAAAAAACGAGTAGTTAGGCGGTGGTGGCACACACCTTTAATCCCTGAACTTGGGAGGCAGAAGTTCTGAGTTCCTGGCCAGACAGCCTGATCTACAGAGCCAGTTTCAGAATGGTCAAGACTACAAAGAGAAACTCTGAAAAAAAAGGAGTCAAAGTGTGGGGCTGGGAACATGACTTGGTAAAGTGCTTGCTTAGTATGCCTGAGCCTCGAGGGTCCATCCAAAGCACAACATAAACCAGGTGCAGTCTCTAATCCTAGCAAAGGAGAGGTGGAGGCAAAGGGATCAGAAGTTCAAGGGTCATCTTCAAACTGCAAGTTAGAGCCAGCTTGGGTTACATGGAACCTGTCTCAAAATATAAACAAGTGAAGACTGCTGCAGTTGCTATTCACAGAGCTCTGAAGGAGCGTGGAAAAGTGCCGAATTCCACAAAGGTAGGTGATGGGGAGTCCCTGAACCCCTGAGCAGCTGGGCCGCAGCACCAAGAGAGGAGCTAACATTGCCAAGTGACTGCGATAGGATGGGCACTTTCCAAACCAAAGTTACTAACTGTTCAGCTCATCCCAGTGTGCTTCAAACCTCACAAGTTTCCACACAGAGAGTAGGCAAGGTTTGCAGCTAGACCGCAGTGATTGGAGGCAGGCCTGTCTGGCTGGTACTTTTTCTGATGTTTTCATTCCCGCGAGCCAGGTGAAGGAACAGCTAAGCAAAAGCTTGGCAGCCGAAAGGCACGGGGAGTTCTCTGGCAACAGCACACAGAGGCTTTGATGGTGGTTTTACTTCTTAAAATGCCTTGCTGGCTGCAGGGTAGGAAGTATGGCTGAGCAGTAGAGCTCTTGTATATGTATGTGTTTCAGTCCAGAAAGACGCACGCGTGCACATACACACATACACACAGACATGCACGCACGTGTGCACACAGACACTCAAGCACGTGCACACACACATACACACGCACACGTGCACATACACACACACACACTTCCAGACCTTTTACCTCAGGCTCAAATTCCTTAGCTCAGTACAAGGAGCCCTACAGGAAAGGTTCCAACTCAAGAGCATCATGGTTCCTCTTGAGACTACAATGAAATATGAGTTCATTATCTATGAAAATATTTCATGAAGTAAGCACAGACATGCACATTGAAGTCACAGTGGGGTTGTGAGCCCCATCCATGAGTCTTTCGTGTCTGTGAACTCCTGTGTCTGGAAGGCTTGCTGTTCCGCATCCTCTCTGTGGTTCCCGTCTTCCTCTTGGGGTCGCTGAGCTCTGTGAAGTCGGGAGCCTTTGCTGTGTTCATTGCTTACATATCCAGAACACCTGAGAGGAGCTCCTGGAGCAGATGTGCAGCGAAGAGCCCGGCCAGCTGGCTTCGCACCTTCCTTCTCCGCACCTGTTCTTCCGGTGGGAGGGACAGACTCACCCATCCTGACAGCGCTGCTCAATCTTCCCCTTTGTGTGGAAGCTGCCCACGTAAATCCCCAAACTCTGTGCTGACCTCTTGGGAAGCCTCGTTTCCTTCCTCCCTTCCCCACTCCGTGGGCTGGAAGCCTGTTGTGGGTGCAAGAACAACCGTGTTGTAGGTAATTTGTACGGCTGCTGCCTATAACAGACTTGGAATACAGTAAACTGCTAGTCAACATTTGCTGAATGGATGAGAAGGGACTGGCAGGAAATAAAGCTGGGAAGGAGGACAGGATGACTTTGAACTGTAAAAAATCCTGGGTTTTATTGTTTTCTTTGATTTTGTTTGAAGGGAACAGACATAGTTAAGTTAAAAACCAAGTTTGTATGGTCTTTTTTAAAAAAGATTCATTTACTTATTATTCATACAATGTTCTGCTAACATGTGCACACCAGAAGAGAGCAGCAGATTTCATTACAGATGACTGTGAGCCACCATGTATGTGCTGAGAATTGAACTCGGGACCTCTGGAAGAGCAGCCGGTGCTCTTAACTGCTGAGCCATTTCTCCAGCCCTGTATATTTAATGAAAAGAGGGTATGTTGGGAAGGAAAGCTAAGTAGGAAGCCTCTGTAATAGTTCAGTGAGGGGTGGAAAGGCCGGGTATTTTCATACAGGCCTGTAAGCCCAGCACTTGGGAAGCAGAAATGAGGCAGGATGACAGGCCCAACTGCAAGGCCAGTTCTAGGCCAAGGTGACAGAGCAAGATTAAGACCAGAGAATGGGGGCGCTGGAGACAAGACTCAGACATTAGGAGTACTGGTTGCTCTTGCCGAGGACCTGAGCTGCATTCCCAGCCACCCACATGGTGGCTCCCGGTCTGGCACATCAATTCAGCGGAACTCGGTGCCCTCTTCTGGCAGCCACTGTCACTGCACATACATGGTGCACTTGCATGACTTCTGGCGAAACACCCAAGACACATAAGATAAAAAAAAAAAAAACAAATCTTAAAGATTCTACTCCAGAGGCACGCGTGAGGTCTCGGGAAACTGAACAAGGACCGTGATGGGATATGTATGATATGCCACTATGGGAAAGTATAGTAGGGGAGAGTTGGATCTAACCAGGAGCTCAGGGAATGGTCTTTAAGGGGGATGTGTAAGCTGAGATCAGAGATAGCTTTAGGTGACAGAATCAGCAGGATTTGTCAGTCCCCAGGAGGAGGAGACGTTACATAAAAGGTTCAATTCCTGGAGCTGGAGAGAAACATACAGAGGAAGGGATCGCAGCTCAAGTTGCATCTGAAAACTGCCCTTCCAGGCCGTTCCTGTTGGGTCTTCTAAGACTGTAGGCAGCTCAGCCATTTAAAATGACCATTGTCTAACCTCTCTTGCCTATGTCAATAGTGACACCAACTCGTCCCGGGCTTAAGTGACAGAACTGGAGACACCGGATTCTGCTCCCTGCCTCCGTCTTCATATGCAGCCGCCAGCAGCCTGTAGTTCCCACCTTCTAAAGACTCCTTGTCTGCATGCACCGGCCTTCCCAGCCCCTACTGCTCACAGAACTCAGGGCGGACCCCTGCAACCTGGCCTCCCCAGTTCCACTCCGCTTGACCCCACATACAACCAGCATAAGCTACCAGAATAGGAGCTTTATCCCTTGAAATGTTTTCTGTGTCCTTTTGTTACTGGCATTGGGGTCAGTGGTTATGCTTTGATAATCCAGGCTCAGCCTCCTGTCTACAAGTCGATCAGAAGCACCAAATTCACAGTGAAACACAGAAGCAATTTATTTAATGTGGCCACATGGAGAAAAGGAACAAAGAGATACAGTGACCCCTGTGGGAGTCCCCTCTGTGTGCTGTGATTACCATAGCAAGGCAGAACTTAGGGAGGCAGGGAAAGCTAGGCTGAATGCTGGGAGAAAGAAGGGCGGAGTCGGGGAGATGCCATGGATCCGCAGCCAGAGACAGACGTACTGAAACATTGCTGGTAGGCCACAACCTTGTGGTGATGCAGAGATTAATGGAGATGGGTTAAATTAATATGTAAGAGTTAACCAATAAGAAGTTAGAGCTAATGGACCAAGCAGTGATTTAATTAATACAGTTTCTGTGTGATTATTTCGGGTCTAAGCTAGCCGGGCAGCCAGGAACCAAACAAGCGAGTCCCTCCTACAGACCCCTGTGTCTCAAGTCCATCTTTGGGGTCCTGGCATAAGGTTTAGGCTTAAGTAGAGAACTAGAAGGATGCAAAGCTAGGCGGTCCTGGTCAGGGTGTGGTTCCGGTTGGACAAGGTGATCTGACCCGTTGTCAGAAGCCTGTGGTCGCCTTCCAAAAGACAAGGTCCCCTCTGGCTGGCACTCACTTCAGCATTTCTCTCCCCCAGCGTGAGGGTCCTGAAGAAATTCCAGTTTGTTGTTGGTCATTATTGTATTACTATCCCAACGAGGAGATTTAGGGTATCTTTATTCCTGTTTGGGGGAGGGGTCCCTCTTGCTCGGGCTCAAACAATGACTCTGTGTCATCTGTGCCTCTGTGCGGCTTAATTTAAGCCCTTCTTCCTCCCTTCTCCTGTCTCTGTGACTTGGCCCTGACAACCTCCCTCACACCATTAGCACTTCATGCTTTCTCCCACCTCAAGTTCTTCTTGGGCCTAGAACATTCTTCTGACCTGGCACAGTAAACTAATCCTTCAAATCCGAGTTAAAGGTGATTTCCTAAGTGCCCTGTTCTTTGCAATAACTTGCCGGACCCGATCTGTAAATCCCTTTATTGTGTGGCCTATATAACACTTGACTTTTCTTATGGCAAACTCATCAAAACAGTGTGCCTGTTCCCTCTGATGGAGTGTGTGCCTCTCAGGACAGGTGCCTGCTTGTGCCTTCCCTCTGGACACCCACCCTCCAGGCCCACTGTCTGGCACATCCTACTCTTCCTCTGAACCTTGCTAGTCTACCGCTTTTACCTGATGCCCAGACTATGAGCACATTCCTTCCTGGAACCACATAGCTCCTTGAACACCTTTTATAACACTTATTGAAGGGTCTCTGGATTACAGTTCAAGGAGGACGCTGGAGACAGACTGTCCTTCCGGGCAAGAGATTTATTAGGAGAAATAGCAACGTCTTGGAAAGTGCCTTCTGGGGGTTCTGAGAAGAGCACAGACCCCAACACTGTGGCCAGTCAGCCCTAAGAGGTCCCTTCTTACAGGTCTCAGAGGAAAAGGAAAATTCCATGCACCAATAATTGAAAAGTGTCCACAGCACAGGCCTGCCTCTGATTCCCAGGGACTGTGGGTAGAGGGTCTTGCATAAAGCAAGAAAGAAAGGAATCTTGCTAGTGTGTGACTTAGAGAATATGGGGGAACTGGGGAGGAGGGGCATGTTTACTTATGGTGTACCCATTACCTAGGTGGGTATGGGGTGCCACTGGTACCCTCTGATATCTTGGGGATCTAGTAGTCTGGATCTATCCTTGAAGAAGTAAGAATAAGGGTGCCAGGGACAGCGAGAAAGCTCAGCGGATAGATGCTTGTCACCAAGCCTGTGTTCAAGCCCCAGAACCCACATGGCGAAAACTGATGCTTGCACGTTTCTCCCTGACCTCTGACATATGTGCACATACGTACCCAACTAAATAATTCTTTTTAATTAGGGCACTTCTGGCCCTGCCCTTCACTGGCTGGGGGAGAGCTGCCCCGCTCCCAGAGCTGACCCTACCCCATAGGCATGGGAGAGCTGGTTTCACCCCTCAGCTGAGGGGGATGGTCCTAGTGACAAGATCAGACCAACTCAGCTACCACCCAGGCACACACCCAGGGCTGTGAGTGGGCACTCCCCAACATCCACCCCATCTACAACCTGCTGGAGCGTGTGAAGGGATCGACCCTGCGGAACCATGGCTGCAGGATCTCCATAACACAGGGCAACAGCAGGATGTCCAGGAGGAGATTCAGTGAGGGTTCAGTACTGATGGTGTACCAGAAGCCAAAGGGCTTAAACCCGGTCAACAACTCATTACACAACGGACGTTTGCAAGTGAAGCCGTGTGGACCAGAGTCTACAGCAGGGCACACAGCAGCCCCCAATGCCACCAAGACAAATGAAGAGGGGATAGAGAGGCAGGAATGATGGAGGAGACAAGTGGGGTATTTTTGTTTGTTTTGTTTTTTGTTTGTCTGTTTTAATTAATATTTTTATTTGCATTTTTAATTTTTATTATTTCTTTTCAAGTTTCGCTGGGGGTTGCAGATGCTACAAGGGTGAAGGGTGGGTATGGAGGGACTGGGAAATGAGTGGTGTTGGGGTGCATGATGTGAAATTCTCAAAGACTCAATTAAAAAATATGTTTACAATAAACAAATTAGGGCACCTGCTATTCTTCTGGAGTCCAGGCACCTGAGGAACCTGCTAGAGGGAAAAGATAGGCTGGGGAGGTGGGAGCTTGCCATTTCCTTTCCAACAGCTGTGGAAAAGAGGCTGCTACACATGGGTGTGACTTGCTCAGCTCCTAGTCCAAAATCTGAAAGTTTTCACAACTACAAAACCACCTGGTTTTCGTGTTTGTCCCGCCAACGAGCTCTTTCAGACCCTCATTCCACTGTGTCCTACAACCTAAGACGATGCTCAGTACAAGACCCTCTCAGCTTAGCACTCCTGCGCACATAGAGAAAGCAGTTCTTGGTAGATTTTTAAAGAAGTCTGAGGCCTGAAAGAGCCTAAGAACCTTCCCTAGATGGTGAAGGGTCTGCCTGCCCTTCAGAACAGCGTCTCCCACTGCAACAGACGCTCTGAAAAGGCAAGTGTCTTCTGTCCCATCTGATATATCCCAAGGGCCTAGAATGGTGCCCAACGCAGTTCCGCACAGGTCCAGAATAACCAAGAGTCTCAGACAACTTCTTGAGGTACATAGACACCATGAGTATGAGTTGCGTGTGGCTGAGTTACCCCAAAATATAATGCTTAGAGCAAACATTTATTATCTCAACTTCTCCAGGTTAGCAGGAGATAAAGTGTGGCTTGGCTGAGTCCTGACCTTCAGTGTCTCTCCCAGGCTGCAAAGCATGGCTCAGTGGTGCTCTCAAAGCTAAGCAAGGGCAGACTCGTGGGTGGAGGGGCGTTCACCATGTGAGGGTGGATTACCTCAGGGGCCTCTTCACAGCATGGGTGCTGACTTCACCAGAGTTAGCCAGGAAGGGAAGTAGGGTGTGCAGTCCTTCCTAACTACAGCCTATCACCTTAGCTAGGGCCTTTTTACAAGAAGTAAGTCTCGTGGTCTCGTGCACACTGCACACAGGAGGGGATCCACCTAAGAGTACAGATACCAGGCGGTATCCCCTGAGGCCCCAGGAATCTTAGAAGTTGCCCACCACAGGATGCGCTAACAGCAGAAGGCATAGACCAGAGCCCACCGAGCCAAGTCAGTGAGGAGGAGGCAGAAACTAGAGGTGAGAGATTTGGGGAGAGCTGAGGCTTTGACTACCTTCCAACAGGCTGCTAGAAACCTGTAATGCAGATTTACAGATCTTCTGACTTTTTAAAAGTAGCCAAAGCCTAGAATTTTGTGAGGTGTTTCCTGATTTTTGAAACTGGGAAAAAAATCAAATCAAACCACATCTGGGTTTATACTTCCTCCGAGAACAGGAAGGACCTAATTAAGTTTTATTTTTCCTACCCTTTGAATATGTCTACCACCTCTCCTACCTTCCACTCTACCCCACTTGTTCACTGACAAGAAACTAACCAATGCATTCTGTGCATGTCCCACAGAAAAATAGTCTGAAAATGCAGACTTGCTGCAATCTTATAACCTTAGGGAATTGCCCTTAAGCCAAGAACAGCAGCTTAAGCAGCCTTGGGTCTGTAATTTAGGATCTCAGCTCTGCCTTGGACAAGTGATTAACTTTAGAGAGTCTCAGCCTCTTCATCCATAAAATGCAACAGTTGTACCTGGTTCTGAGTTGTTTCGACACTGAGAAGAGTAGTCCATGTGAGGCCCTGAGAGCTCAGCTCCAGCAACTCAAGCCCCAGGCGCTATCTTCTCCCAGCAGCCCTCTCTCCTCCTGGATCACTATCTTCTGTCATCTAACGCTATCTGGCTGGGAGAGTGAGCCTTTGAAAAGCAGAGCTGCCGTTGACACTGAAAAGTTTAAATCCTCTAACAGTCTGTTGATGCCCTTAGCAGGCGAAAATCCAAATGGTTTAACACAGCCCACTCCCTAGGCTGTTCTGGAGCTGAGCCTGCCCAGGCTTCTGGGCTCATCGCTCAGCTTTTCTCTTCACACTTGGTGTTGCCACCACACTGTGGCTGTTTCCCAGCGCTCCACACTTCCCTGCCGTGGCAAAACCTAAGCGTCATCCGAGCTGGAACCTCTTCTCCGTCTGCGCACCAGGCCTCGTTTGTTCCAGCTGTGCACTATCATGAGAATCCTCTTGTCCCTTTTAACCCTGAAGGCAGAGACAGTATCTTTTCTCCTCACAGTGACTCCTCGTCCCTTTTAACCCTGAATGCAGAGACAGTATCTTTTCTCCTCACAGTGACTCCTCTCTTCCTAGCAATGAGCACAAGAAAATGCAGTTAACTTTGTGGCGCGGGCCCCAGCAGTTCGGACCAGAGGGCAGACAGCGCCATCTGCTGGCACAAATTTGTACTTCAGCATTTTCACCCTAAAGAGATAAAAGTTTTGGAATTTTACATTAGTCCATTAGAGAGCAGGGGTTCTCACACGGGACTGTATTAAGGGGTGCTGCGACCCTTTAATACAGTTCCACATGTTGTGGCGACCCCCAACCATAAAATTATTTCGTTGTTACTGTATAACTGTAATTTTGATAGTTATGAATTGTAATATAAATATCTGATATGAGGATATTCAATATGCGGTAGAGGTCACGACCATTTGCAGTGTTCTCCACGTCCCATAAAACTTTGCAAATTATTTAGTACTTGATGCATTTTGGGTAATTTTCTAAGCGTTTGAGTTGTCAGAATCACCCATGGGGGCAGTAGGACACTATTGGAACTTTTACAGTTAGGGTAACTGAAGCAGCTAAATGACTCTCGGGCCACACAGCTAGAAAACCTCAGCCAAGACCCAAACCCTGTTTGGACTGGCAAGCTCAGCAAAGCCCCTGCCTCTATTGTTCTTTACTTCACACCAGACACCTGCCATGACCCACACCGTGAAAGCCGCCCTCCTCAGACACTAGTCAGGCTTGGCCTCTTCATGGCTCTACCTTCAGTGTGGCTGAGTGGACACTCTAGGACATGAAGGGACTGAGAAGCGGTCTGTTTCCGAGGGACACTGACAGCGAGAGTCATCCAGACCACTTGCAGTGACGCTCGGCTAGCCTCATGCCTTGACAACGCCATCCTGAGCAGAGTCTGGCTACTTCTTCCTATTTCATTTTAGTGTGTGCTATGGGGAGAAATGACTGCTTGCCTCCACTTGGTATCAAATTAAAATCAAATTTCTAGTGCTTCCTAACTGAGTCACCGGCTAAAGCGCACAGATCTGTTATATTCAGGGCCGCACAGCAAGCAGCACATCCTGAACAGAACCCATTAATCTCACTCTATTCTACGGTCCTAACACAAAACTCAACCCCGAAACACACAGAAAGACCCAGAGCAGCAAATGCCGTCTACTGCTGGATGCTTTAACTGAGTCATTACTCCAAACACTAAAGACACTGCTTTGCACAAATTTATTTTAATACAGATATATACATATACACACATACACAGTCACAAACCAGCGTGACAAGTTCCCCTCTTTAGCCAGGAGAGCTCTCCCACATCCAGGGGTCCTGGAGATGCTCTAGAGAGCCTAGTGTGACAGTTTTCACATAAGATGCCCATTAGGGAACACTTTAATCAGATTAAATGGCAAGGTGCACCCCAGGGGTGCACTGCCTGGGGCCTCATGCCGGTCCAGAGCTCTGCTGGACCCTCTTCATCAGCTCTTCATCCTGCATAGACAACTCTGTCAACTTTTTGCCCATCCTCTCATGGATGTCCAAGTACTTGGATACACATCGGTCCAGGCACACAGACTCGCCTTTGGACAGCTCTGCTTCCTTGTAGTGGGGAGGCACACACTTCCGGTGGCAGGCACTGGTCATCCTGAGATCAGAGAGGGACAAGGTTGTATAAGTACCGTCCTGTGATGTCCCAGGACCCTTCAGCAACCCCAACCCTGCTGTACTGATTTTGCCTCACCCTCTCCCCCATGAAAACAGTGGAAATCCTGTTTTCACTTCAACCACCTTGGAAGGTTCTTCAGACTAAGAACCTTGTTTGAGTCATGTATAAGACTAGTTAAAGAGCAAAGACTTGCTGGATGCTGGCTGTGTGCCAGGCATCGTGATAAATGCTAACACAGACTGTTATGTAACAAACCCTCTCAGCAGCTAAGCGGGGTGTGCACAACCAAATCCCCCCATTTTACAGATGAAGACATTAAGACAGAAGTACTCAGTAATTTGCTAAGGATCATACAAAGCCAAGTAGTCTGATTTCACCATTCCAGCCAGGTGGTGGTGGCGCACGCCTTTAAAACCAGCACTGGAGAGGCAGAGGCAGGCAGAGCTCTGAGTTCAAGGCCAGCCTGGAGTTCCAGGACAGCCAGAACTAGATAAAGAAACCCTGCCTTGGGGGGAGGGGGCGAAAGAATTCTAATTTGTAGTCTCCAAGATAAATCAACCAATGAAAAGAGCTTCTGCTGACTCCAACCAGCAGGTGTGTCACTGGTTCCTGAGCAGTGCTTGGTGCTAAAGGCATTCTGGTAATGCCTTCATGGAGTGTTTATGTAAGTTTTACTGATAATACAATCAATTACGAGACTTGTCCAAAGATATTCAGCAGGTGAGGGGTTTATTTCCAAACTGGCCAAACAGCTACAAGCAATAGTTGTGAACTCAGCTTTAAGGACTGACTCTGACCTTGCTACTCACCAGCTATGAACCCTGACATTACTAAGCAGCTTGACACCCCAACTCCTCTATGTTAAAATGGCACTAATAAGATTAAAATTAACCCACTGATTTTCTTTCTTTTCTTTTTTAAACTGGTGTTATTTATCCCAGACTGGTCTCAAACTCACTATGCAGCCAAGGATGACCTTGAACTATTGACTCTCTGGCCTCCACCTCTGGGCGCTGTGATTACAAGTACCACGTCAATGTCAAAACAAGAGCTTCCTGCATTCTAGACAAGCACCCTACCAAGGAAGTTATAGCCCCTTCACCCAGTGAGTTATTTAATATTTAATATTAAAGATTAAAAAAAGACAGTGGGGGGGCTGGAGAGACAGTTCGGTGGTTAAGAGAACTCACTGCTCTCGCAAAGACCTGGGTTCGGTTCCCAGCACCCACATGGTAGCTCACTACTGTCTGTAACTCCAGTTCCAATGGATCTGAGGCCTCCTTTGGTCTCTTCAGGCACATGGTGTACATACATACACGCAGACAAAATATACATACATGTAAAATAAAAACAAATAAAGACTATAAAAATGATCATGTATATAAAATGCTGTGCAGGTGTCTGACAGGGAGTCTTCAATGAAGACTATGTGTGCACAGCTTTAATCTCCAGCACCCAAGAGGGAGAGGCTGGTGATCTCTGTGAATTCAAGGTCAGCCTGGTCTACATAGCATGATCCAGGCTAGCAAAGGTTACACCAGACACCCCCATCTCAAAAAAAAAAAGTTTAATAAATATTAGCTACTACATGGTATTAACCACTAACTGACTTTTCAGGCGGCTCAGAAGGCAAAGGCACTGGCTGCCAAGCCAGAACTGAGTCCAATCCCTGGGACCCCTGGTGGAAGGAGATGGGCTCCTCGGACCTCCACTAGTGCGCTGTTGTTGCGTGCACGTTGGCGCTCATAAACAAACACAAAATACAGAAACAAATTAAATAGGTTATTTAAAAAAAGGTTAACACTAGTTGTTTTTAAACTGGACAGGAGATCCTCCTTCACGTCCCTTTTACTCCCTCTCAATAGCCAAGTCCTTCCAGTGACCTTAATTTACCCTAGCCAAGCACACGGTGAGGGTGGGGCAGAAGGCGGGGGTGGGAAAGCACCCGTTGCAAACCCTTCTCTCTGTCCCGGTAAGGATGACTCGGGCTCACTTTCCAAGACAAGGATATCGTGGAGAGGTTCTCATTACCTGTTGTACATGTCGGCCATCATCTCTACCTCCAGCTCCGCAGCCAGCTGCTGGGCTCTAAGCGGATCCATGTCAGCCTAGCACGGTGGAGAACGGCCACCCGGTCTTCAATCCTAGGAGCAGACATGATCGTCAGCACCGACCCCTCCCGCTTCACCCTAGCATCCGGGGGCTGCAGGTTTCAGACCAGCAGGGACCACTGCCCCCAACAAACGGAAGTGGAAGCGAGGCCCTGTCAGGGGGACGGTGCCCAGCTCAAGGTCACTCAGGATGTCATCAGCAGAGCCCAGGGCCGGAAACCGAGACCTCTCGGTCACTCGAGGTCACTCCCGGCCAGAGGACACTCGAAACCGTGGGCCTGGGCGGCGTGGCCCTGGGGATCCGACCCTCAACACCACCGAGGATGCTGCAGCCGGCGCGGAGGCTGCGCCGGCCACGGCGAGGTCATCATCGGGGTCACTCCGGGGTCAGACACCGCGGCTCACTCACCCCCGCCTGCGGCCGCTCACCGATCCCACGGCGCCCCCAGCTTCGGGTCAGCGGTGAGCAGCGGCCGGGCACCCAGCTAGGACCTGAGAAGCACGTGGGTCACTTCCGGGAGGGAAGTCCAGCCTCCTCTGTGATCCGGAAGAAAACGCCCACCGGGAGGCGCTGGGAAGCCGGCTACCATGGAGACGGAGCCGCCTCCGGGGGCTAGAGAGGACTCCGAGGGACCATCGAGGCTGGAGCGAGGGGCAGAGCGCCAGCAGCCTTGGAGGTCTCCGCGTGGTTGCAAAAGTGCAAAGGGAGCGGACGCCTGAGCGCAGACAGATCCTCTTTCCCAAAGGGAGCCCGTCGGTTTTGCATGCTCACACCACCTGGAGTACTTTTTTAGGAAAAAAATCTCAATGCCCAGACGTTACCTTATACCCGTGAAATCAGAATCGCCAGAGTAGGACCCAGATATTAGTACACAAGCGAGCTGGGTGTGCGTCCTTAACTGGTGGGGTTGGAGAGAGGGTACAAGATTGCTGCTCGCAGAAAGAAGCAAAATGTACAGAGTTCTTTGTTTGCTTGTTTTTTGAGACAGGGTCTCACGGATCCCAGGGTACGCTCTAATTTGCGGTGTGGCCGAAGATGAGCTACAACTTACGATCCTCCGGCCTCTACCTCACTGGTGCTGGGTTACACATGTGCGCCACTGGGACTGATTTAACCTAGGACCATATGCATGCTATTGGCACGAATTCTACCAGCTGAGCTATTTTCCCAGCCCTAGAACGTGTTTTATTGTACTTCTCTATTATACCCACTCACATATACATGAACAATATAAATAAATAATAATGAAAACATTGGTTTTTAATCTTTTAAAAATACTTTTATCAGAACACATTTACAACACACAGAAAACTGAAAATCACAATAACGGGATGCAGACACAAATACTGCCCCGCTCCTAGATAATGAGTTGTGGGCAATTGGTAGATTCTGGGAGAGGGAGAATCAGCTCTCCGATTTTCTAATAAAAGTGTTTTTTAAAAAGGGAAGGAAAAGAAAACACTGTCTAATGAACATCAATACAGCTATCACCAGAATGTGTTTTCTTGATCTCTTGTTGTCTTTAACAATGAAGTCTTTTTTTCCAAAGTACTGTTTCCACATCTTCAGCTAACAGAGATTTTTTTTTTTTCTATCTCCCTTTGGTAGTGCTGAAGGTTGAATCCAGGGTCTTATGCATTCTAAACAAGCTCCCCACACCTGGACTACACCACTCATTTTGGTGTACTTTTAAAAATTTAAATTTATTCGTAAAAGCATGGGCCATGGGCACGTGTCGAAGCCAAAGGACAACTTGTGGATGTTGATTCTGTCCTTCCACTGAAAGGTCTGAACTTGCCCGTTTTACAACTGAGCCTGAGTTTCAGTTTCCTAAAAGGACAAGAGAGATAGCACATACCCAGAGACAAGGGAGATAACACGTACCAGGCCTAAGCCAGTCCCACAGTATCTCAGTACAATGACCCGAAAGGAGAGTTCCTATAATCTCCCTGAAACATACCCTGCCTTGCCCAAGAATGCCCAATCAGAAACATACTAATGTAACCGATGCTTGCTTAGCCAATTACGTTTGAGATAACCTGTCTCTGAAAGTATCTGAGCAGTGCTTAAAAGGAACCTGCACGCTCCTTTCATGGTCACCATTTAGCCTTTGTATTTGATGTGTGGCCCCAGCATGCTGGAATCTTTACTCTTGAGAGAATAAACACTCTTGCTGATTGCACACGTGTCTAGTGGTCTTTTGTGTGACTTCTCGAGGACCCTAACACCACCACATGGGTCCAGAGTCATCAAACCCAAGTTGTCAGGCATCATAATAAGCACCCTTACCTACCAAGCTATCTCAACAGCCTGCTTATTTCTTTTTTAAAAATACATTTTTTATTGATATTTATTGAGCTCTACATTTTCTCTGCTCCCCTCCCTGCCTCTCCCCTCCCCACTTTAATCCTTCCCCCAAGGTCCCCATGCTCCCAATTTACTCAAGAGATCTTATCTTTTTCTACTTTCTACTTCCCATGTAGATAAGATCTATGTAAGTCTCTCTTAGTGTCCATGTTATTGTCTAAGTTCTCTGAGATTGTGGTTTGTAGGCTGACTTTGTTTGCTTTATGTTTAAAAACCATCTGTGAGTGAGTACATTGATAATTGTCTTTCTGTGTCTGGGTTACCTCACTCAAAACAATGTTTTCTAGCTCCATCCATTTCCAGCAAAATTCAAGATGTTGTTGGTTTTTTTCTGCTGTGTAGTACTCCATTGTGTAAATGTACCACATTTTCCTTATCCATTCTTTGGTCGAGGGGCCTGGTTGTTTCCAGGTTCTGGCTATGACAAACAAAGCTGCTATGAACATAGTTGAGCACATGTCCTTGTGGCACAATTGAGCATCCTTTGGATATATACCCAAAAGTGGTATTACTGGGTCTTGAGCAAGGTTGTTTCCTAATTTTCTGAGAAATTGCCACACTGACATCCAAAGGGGCTGTACCAGCTTGCATTCCCACCAGCAATGCAGAAGTGTTTCCTTTTCCCCACAGCCTCTCCAGCATAAGTTGTCATCAGTGTTTTTGATCTTGGCCATTCTTACAAGTGTAAGATGGAATCTCAAAGTTGTTTTGATTTGCATTTCTCTGATGACTAAGGATACTGAACATTTCCTTAAGTGTCTTTCAGCCATTTTAGATTCCTCTGTTTAGGTCTGTACTCCATTTTTTTATTGGATTATGTGATCTTTTGGTGTCCAATTTCTTGAGTTCTTTGTATATTTTGGAGATCGGATCTCTGTCTGATGTGGGGTTAGTGACAATCTTTTCCCATTCTGTAGACTGTCATTTTGTCTTGTTGACCATGTCCTTTGCTTTACAGAAGCTTTTCAGTTTCAGGAGGTCCCATTTATTAATTGTTTCTCTCAGTGTCTGTGCTGCTGGGGTTATATAGGAACTTTAGGAAGTGGTTCCCCGTGCCAATGTGTTCAAGTGTACTTCCCACTTTCTCTTCTATAAGGTTCAGTGTGGCTGGCTTTATGTTGAGGTCTTTGATCCATTTGGACTTGAGTTTTGTGCATGGTGATAGATATGGGTCTATTTTCATTCTTCTACATGTTGATATCCAGTTATGACAGCACCACTTGTTAAATATGCTTTCTTTTTTCCATTTGATATTTTTTTGCTTCTTTATTAAGGATCAGGTGTTCGAAGATGTGTGGATTGATATCCTGGCCTTCTATTCGATTCCATTGGTCCTCCTGTCTGTTCTTATGCCAACACCAGGCTGTTTTCAGTACTGTAGCTCTGTAGTAGAGTTTGAAGTCAGGGATTGTGATGCCTCCAGAAGTTCTTTTATTGCCCAGGATTGTTTTGGCTATCCTGGGTTTTTTGCTTTTCCATATGAAGTTGAATACCATTCTTTCAAGGTCTTTGAAGAATTTTGCTGGGATTTTGATGGGCATTGCATTGAATAGTTCTTAATGCAATCTATTGAAGATTTTAAAAATTAGTTCTTTTTCTGTTTCTGTGTGTGGAGGTCAGAGGATAACCTCAGCTTTTCATCCTTAACTTCCACGTGTTTGACTCAGGGGCTCCGGTGTTTGTTGCTGCCTGCGCCTGACTAGCTGGCCTGAAAGCTCCCTCCTGTCTCGCTGTAGGAGTCCTGGGATTGGGGACCCATCCTAACACGTCTGCTGATACGTGGGTCCTGGAGATCTTAACTTGGGATGTTACTATTGCGAAGCCATAACCCCAGCCTTATTGAAAATATTTTCTCTGGAACCTCTCAGTATAACATGAGGGCCAGCTTGTTGGGGTTTCTGTTCCCGCCCGGTACCCCACAACCGGCAAATCCCAAAGAGAAATCACACATAGGACTCCATAAGATTATAAAGCTGATTGGCCCATTAGGTCAGGCTTCTTGTTAACCCTTATAACTTATGTTACCCCATTATCCTTATCTACATTAGCCACATGGGCTCAGTACCTTTCTCAGTGTGACAGCTTACATGTTGCCTCTTCAGTGGTCTGCGCAAGAGTAGCTGAGAAAATTTCCTCCTCCCTAGCCTTCTCCTATTCTCATTGCCCTGCCTCCACTTCTTGTCTGGTTGACCCACCTATACTTCCTGCCTGGCCAATCAGCGTTTTATTAAAATACATGATTGACAGAATACAGACGATTCTCCCACACCATTTCCCTCTTTTTTTTTTAAACAAAGGAAAATATCCATAGTCCATTTGTTGGGAATGTGGGCGTAGTATTTCAGGCTACTTCCTGCTGGCTGTGGGTGCTGATAGTCTTATGGGGACCTAAAGAAAACTTAGAGTTATAATCAAGTCCTTACTGGAGTATCCTGTGAGTCTTGATCATCTCAGGCAGCAGTCTTGAATCTGTTCCGGATGTAGAATTCAGACATCCAGGCCACCTGTTCCTACCAGAAATTTCTCAGGAGGTCTCCCTTGATCAAAGATGATTTTTCTTAACTCTGAATAAATCCAGAGCCTCTCATTTTCTGTGGAAACAAAAGCAAAATCTCTTCTCCAAGTAACATACCTTTTGACTTCAGTTTTGAAACCAAGGTATTTTCAAAATACCTATCTTGGGTTAGTTCAGCAGTATTTATAAACAACAGTCCTTTAGCAGCTGTTGCTCCTTCCTCAGCATTCAAACAATTCAAAGAGAGCATAATAGCATACAGTATCAAGATTCTCTGTGTATTTTCCATCTTTATTTTAACCTCTATTTCTTCTATTTTTACTTTTACTTTTTGAGACAAGTTCTCTGTATATCTTTGTCCTGGAATAACTCTGTAGACCAGGCTGTCCTTGAACTCACAGAGATCCTCCTGTCTCTGCCTCCCCAGTGCTGGGATTAAAGGTGTTTGCTACCACACCTTGAACTCAGAGATCTGTCTGTCTCTGCCTCCCAGGCATTGGGATTAAAGGTGTGTGCTACCACACCTTGAAGTCACAGAGGTCAATCTCTACCTCTGTCCCTTGAAGTCACAGAGGTCAATATGCCTCTGCCTCTCAGGCATTGGGATTAAAGGTGTGTACCACCACACCCTACTTCTCTCTTTCTTTCTTTTTTATTTTTAAT